ATGCATCGGCACAAGAGGATGGTCTTACCTCTGCTTGGAAAGGGCAGCCAGCTGGGCTCCGATAGCTGTGGATGAGACGAGGATACAATCATTGCTCTAAAAATACACAGGCATTTGCTTTGAGAGTGTATAAAAAGTAAAGGAGCTCGTACATAGAGCTGCAGCGTTGTCCCTGTCAGACGCCATCTTCTTGCTTTCAGGCTGATCTGAAGGAAAAACACGAGAACAGCTCAGAAACAAACTCAGAGGAGTCAGACGGAGAGACGCAGACTGTGTGTGGTGTTGACATACCTCCATCCTCCAGCGATCGCTTCGGCGTCGGGAAGGGATAACTCTCCGCTCCGCCGTTATTGCTCATTGGGGGACCTGTAACGTCACCACCGATCTTTGCTGCAATCTGGACAACAGAGACATAAACAAAAGTCATGATACAAAACACCAAACATGAATGAACAATGGAAATATAACAAATACTATAATATCATATAGTATTTGTGGGCAATGTAGCTAAAAATTGGGATTACTTCAGTGACATTATAATGGGTAGAAATCATTTTATCTTTCTATTTTTTGGAGAAAAATATATTTACCATGGTTTACAAGATATTAAGATGTTATTCAGTATAACAACTTAAAAAAAAAAACTAAATTGGTTTTGGCCAAAAACATTTAAAACTAAAACTATTGGATGACAAAAAAAAAAAAAAAAAAGATCACAGTGCGGCCCCAAAATACTCATTGGTGATTTTACATCTTTATGTTTTGCTACTATCCCTCAAATCAAAAAGTTTTACCTATGTGGCCATAGTGAGACTTTATTCATTTAGAATCTAGTAGAGCTGCATAATATATTGTTTCAGAATTGATCACCAATGTATGTATTCGCAATAGTCACATTGCTGCATCCGCAATGTGGAGTTGGGATTATTGTTGTTAATCAGCAATGAAGAATGTTCAGTGTCCTCAATAATAGGGGCAGAATAAAATGGTGGTATGCATGAGGTGGCCCTTCTCATAATGGCAAATCAAATCAATGTTGAATTGCAAGAAATATATGTGCTGTTAATAGGCATGGGCCGATAACTGTTTTTTTAAGGTATACCGCTGTTTGAAAAAGTCAAGGTTTTAAACGCGTCAAAATTTTCTGTAATACCATTCCTAAGGTTTGTTTTTTTAGGACAACAGAATCTCCAGCAAAAAAAAAAAAAGATGAAAAACCTAAAAAGATCATCAAAAGAGGTTTTAAATTGTTAAGAAATCTGTGTTTTTGAAACTAAAAACAGCAGACGCCTATGATACATTTTCATTATTAAGCTTGACATGCTTACTGTTCCAGAATATTAGAAATAATTTTAAAAATGAAGTATTTTGTGTTCAAATGGGAATAAAATAGTTTTTTTTACCCAGACATTAAAAAAAGAATATATTTTAGAGCAGTAATCACAATATTATCAAACCGAGAAGTTTTTATCCTAGGTTACCATACCATCAGAATCTTATACCGACCCATGCCTAGCTGTTAATAAAAAAGTATTTTTCCCTCATCATTTGACTGACATATTTCATCATATTGTGGATGGTTTTCTTGTAATATTGAGGATATTGTGATCATTGTTGGGGGCAAAATATCCTGATAATATCATATCATGTTACTGTACCTGAATATCACTTTTGTCTTTACTCCATCTTATTTATTTTTTTATATATTTTTTTATTCACTCGTCTACAAGATCACAAAGTTATGAGTTTATTCCAATGTTAAGGCTATTAGAGCAGATATTGTAATATAAATTGCAGCAAAATATAATATTGCACATTAGATTTGTTCAATATCGTGCAGCCCTAGAATGTAGAAACAATATGATCAATATATGCACCACACTGAATGGCGATAAATCATGGTTTCATTTTGAGGCTTTTATTTATACCACCTAAATTTAACCCGAACACAACAGGATCTCACCTTAAGTCATATACTACCGTCCAAAAGTTTGTATTTGGGGAGTTCTTAAGTATTTTAAAATCTCTCTTTGCACCAATGATGCGGATATTTTGATGCAACATTATGGTTTCAAATAACAGTTTAGGTAACCAGCTTACTTGATTAAAGCTTAGTTTAAGCTTTTATTGACACATTACTCATTCATGTCACGATATGGTTTTAAAGAAAACGTTTTTTCCCCCTATGAACGTTAAACGTGGGTTTCTCCATTATATTATTAAACCCCCCTCAGAAAATGATACACAAACGATGGTAAACAAACATGCTACTCTATCAATAGAGTAAGTGTAAAACACCATGGTATATCCATCCTAAACCACTTCCGTTCAATAGTAACGTTATTTGCCACATTTTCAGTATGAAAGACTGTTTCACACGTAACGCCATGGTGCTAGCATGTTTTGCAGTACATGTACTCTAGTAAGACCACGATGCTAGCCTTATACTCAAACAATGATGCTAACACGATATTAGACTTAATTTAGTCACCCAAATGATATAAAACAGAAAAATGGTTACGATTCTTTGTAAATATACGAACAAGTAGTGGCATATTACGGACTACCGCGTAAATGCTACGATACATGAAATCGGTGCTTATTCTATACAAAGCTATATATTATCCACCAAAACATTACCTTGTGCTGCGTTTGCAGAGCCATAGCATTAGTAAGTAAACACAAACACCACCTATATACATCTATTGTTCAAATTACGGGCAATTTTAGCAAATGCTAACGGGAATCGTCGCGCACGCCGGCTCATGTGCGCGCGGCCCAGTGCGCGCGACTGGCCCACAAACGCGGCCCCGCACTGCGGATCACTCACCTGCCGCGCGCGCTGTACCGCGTCCGCGAACGCGTCTTTTTTCAGCCCACCGGCTCCTAAAGCCGCCCCGGGCCCGGGCGGCGGCACCGCGCTGTACTCAGACATGCTGTCCGTGCGGAAGGGTGAAGTGTGCGGGATACGGCGGGGAGGTCTAGGCCGGGCGGAGGTGCGCAGACGCGGGAAGACAAGCGAGACAAACGCATGGGAGGGACAAAAGGCTCGCAGGTTTGAAGGAACTCTCCTATAGGAGATCTCAGTGAGTGGCTGCTCCACTGACCAATCAGAGAGCAGCGTGAGGCGGGGCTTGCACAATTGACCCAATGAGTGATGATAAAAGGCCACGTTTTTATGACGGGCTGACCAAACGCGACGCACTGAGCTTTCCACTGTGTGAGGCAGCCAATCAGGAAACAGCAGGGTATGAAATTGACCAATGAGGTTGAGGAAAACGCTGATTGGCAATGATGGACGCTTGGATCGTCGTATGGGATTAGGCTCGTTTGACTTGGCCAAAATCTGCGCAGAATGGATCACCGGTGATCACCGCAAGATGCATGCCGGTTAGAAATGTGTCCGCCTTGCCTTCGCCTCGCTCTGATGTCACGCTGACGTGCGCCAAAAAACTCTCGCGATCGCGAGGCGGGTACCTCGGACAGAGCAGTCGGCCGCAGTTGCTCTCAAAAGACTGCGCTCACTAAAAGCATGATGGGAAATGACTGGCTGACGACACAGCTTAATGCTGATTGGATGAGACTGACACATTACACTTAATTATCTTGTTTTACTAAGGTTTATACCTAGATTTGTTGAATACCTTTTTTGTATTTTCGTTGATAATTAAAAAAAAGTCATAAAGAGCATTACATATGGTTATTTATTTACATTTACACGCAAACAAAAACAAAACACATCTTTGTAAAACATAACGTGACCCATCCAATATAACTGAATGTTATTAATAAATCATTAGGATGTGCATGTGCTGTATTCTATTTCTCTCTCAGTCTTAAATCCTGTTTGTTGTCATTTTCACTTTATGTATGTTTGTGTGAATTTTGTATTGTAATTTTTATGCAGCGTTATTGCATTAAAGTCAATCCAATATATACATATATTCAGAAATACAAAGGTAATCAGACTGTTTTGTCATTATGCCTCATCTTTATGTGGTTTCATATGAGAAGTGAAAAGGGTGTAGTAAACAAGACACACACACACACACACACACACACACACACACACACACACACAAATGTATATGTATGTGGAGTCAAAAGTCATGTTTAATAGACCAAGAACATTTCCACAGTTTTTCCTACAGTCTAATAGTTTTTATTCTGGAGAAAGTCTTGGGCTGTTTATTTTAGTCTGGCTGGAGTAAAAGCAGTTTATATAGACCTAATAAGCATGTCAATATAATTAACCCCCTAAGAATTTATTTGTCAAACAAACATTTGTCATGACCTGTCACTCAAAAGCATGCTATGGCTACTTCATTTTTAATGTAGCCAATTTAGGTTTCTTGAGAGTTTTCTTGCTGTATAAGCTGTTTATTTTGTTATTTTTTTAACGTTTGTTGAATATACAGAATTATATTTTTAATACACCCTTTTAGTTAATGAGCTGTTCATCTTCTGTAATTCTGACCATCTCTATAAAAACAGTGATATTTCTATTGCATCCACTCCCACATTAAAAAATACTATAGTAATGTATACTGTAGTGCTTTTGAACCATGTTATAAAATAGCCTATTTAAATGTTATAGTTCTGGTATCACAACAACGATAAACACAACCCAATACTGAATAAACATGTTCAAAAATGCTATAATATTTACTATAAATCACCATAGTATTTTTTCATGAGGTCATTCGTCTGCGATAAAAAACGCGAACGAGATCTCCGCCACTGGTGACGTTTCCAGGTGGCTAAACAGCGAGATTCGGCAGGTGTCCGACTTCTGGTGTAATTTTTGAGCCCTCCTCTTACTGCGCACGCCTGCTCTCGTTTACAATGCAGTCAAGGCGAGGCGCACCTCAAACGAGCCTATTATTTAACCTTGGTGGTTGTGTTTTGCTTCTCGATGCATTTTCTTGGCATTTTATGAGGTAGTTTTAGTGGAGGTTGAGTAGATTAGCTTATCTTGTCTTGAATAAAGATCCCAGAAGAATACTTTGCTTGTTTTATTTAAAATTTGTTTAATTTCATGTACACATTCTCTTGCATGCATTCAGTTACATATTTTAGTTTTCATTCAAAGGTAAATACACAGTAGAACAGCAAAAAAAAAAAAAAAAACAGATAATGAACAAACATGTTGTTGTTTATGTCAATGCAAGATGTCCGTGTTGGAAACCGTTTTTATTCAGGAGGCCCAGATTAAATCTGCAAATGATTTTTTCACAGTTTCCACACAGATATTGTGGAACAGGTGTAAACATGATGAAATACTTTGACCTTTTTGATAAACTGAAAGTTCTTTGTTAAGTACTAGTACTCTTTTACAGCTTAATTAAGGGGACGGATGTTCTCATTCAAGACAACACTTGATTGAATACAAAATTGGACACACCCACAAGTGCAGGCTGATGTCATCAATATTTTGGTCCGTTTTCCCAGAAAAAGGCTGGGAAATTCTAAAGCGTAATAAACTAGAAGTTTATTTTAGAAGTACAGCAGTGTATGTATGTGCTACTGGACAAACTAAAAGAAACAGAAATGTAATTTTGAGGCTTCGATTTAAAAACACCAGAAGTTTGCAGATTCCCAGTGGAAATCTTCATAGTAGAATAGCTCATTCTAGTCTATCTGAGTGTATCTGCTGAACTCTTAAGCAGTGATCCTCTACTCTAAAAAGTTTTTTATTAGTTCTGTTTCTTTTCATAAGAAAAAAAATTACACAAAAAACACACACACTCTCTCTCTCTCTCTCTCTCTCTCTCTCATCCATGAGTCCATAAGGCTTTCTGCTCCAAATGAAGGCTACAGCATCTCATGCACTGATGGTAACAGAAATATCAACTCCAAGGCTGCGTCCCAATTCAGATATGTACGTAATGTGTATTTGCTAAGTATGTAGTAAGACGTAAGACTACAATATTAATGGGTCATTAATTATGTATCGATACATATAATACATTATATGTACATTTTTTGTCTAAAGCCCCCAATATGGCAAACGTCTTTTTCATTTAGGGGTAAAAACTAGTTTGAAAAACCTGAGCATTGGTAAGATCTAGATGATTTAATAAATACATGCAGCACATTTTCTTATATATAAACTAAAACATATATATATATATATATAAAACACAAACTTTCAACTAAATTACAGCAGCGTGAAAACACCAGTTAAGAAAACATGATATGATGTTTGTGGGTCGAAGGATGGATGGCTGCTTTTTTCTTCAGAATATCTTGTTTTGTGTTCACCAGAAGAAAAAAACACTTGATGAAAAGTCGAGAGAGGAAATTTTCATTTTAGGGTGAACTATTTCTTTAACCGGAGAAGGTTTTCAAGTCAAAGTAGGTGAAGCCACACAGCCACACCTACCTATTATGTACTAAGAATTGACCAATGGTAGATTGAGAGTGTTTACTAAGTGAAGTAAAGCAAACTGAAATAAACTAACTTTATTTTGGCCTGATATTCGCTGAAATGACGTTATTTATTATTGGACTTAGCTTTAAGTATATTTGGGACATTAGCATCTTGCTAAACTCATAAATAACATTTTTTAAAATCACATACATTTAAGAACTACTGTGGCAACTTCGGCCTTGCATTCATCAATACATTTCTTCATCTGAAAAAAAAAAAAAAATTCACAAAATGTCATCACACACAAGATTGGATGAGGGAAATATTAGCCAGAAAATGCATGCATGGATGGATGCATACTGTACTTCAAAAAATAATCCATTAAATAAGAATATCATCTGGTAAGGTCTTAATCATGAAACAAAAGCAGAATGAATTTCTGGGTAAATTCATTTTCATGATTTAACAGTTTACACGTTTTAGGAGTCAGTCCTTGTGTTTTGACACCACAGTATTTATGGAGGAGAGTATGCAAATTGGGACACAGTGCAAGTTTTTAGAATTTAAATTCTGGAATCTTCAGTTGAGAATAGTGCTGTGGTGAAAAAAACATTTGAGAAATAGGTGCTGTGTGGATTATGAGCTTTTCTAAATGAACTGGTATTAAATGTCTCTTAAATCAATCTGTAGTTCAGTTTTTAACAGCTGATGGTGCTGTAGGCTAGTTTTGAACAGTAGGCGGTGCTCTAGGCTAGTTTTGAACAGCAAATGGAGTGCTAGGCTAGTTTTAAACAGTAGGTGACGCTCCAGGCTAGTTTTGAACAGCAGTTGGCGCTCTAGGCTAGTTTTGAACAGCAGTTGGCGCTCTAGGCTAGTTTTTAAACAGCAAATGGAGCTTTAGGATAATTGTGAACAACAGATGGCGCTCTAGGCTAGTTTTGGACAATAGGTGGTGTTCTAGGCTAGTTTTGAACACTCAAAGGAAGAGTTCTTGTGCGTTCTGTTTCAAGTTGGCTTTTATATAATGAAATTATTATAAACAGCTCACTATGGACACGTCATTCGCTTCAACCTTCCCTAACTTTATTGATTATTTTAAGTTTTATTTGTAAAAGGTTTGTAAAACAGAGCCATCTGCTCTTAAAAACTAGTCTAGAGCACCAACTACAGTTAAAAACTAACCAATCTACTGTTAAAAACCAGCTTAGAGCACCATCTACTGTCAAAAACTAGCCTAGAGCGCCATCTACTGTTAAAAACTAATCTATCTACTCTTAAAAACTAGCCTTGAGCGCAATCTGCTCTTATAAACTAGTCTAAAGAGCCATCCACTGTCAAAAACTAGCCTAGAGCACTATCTGCTGTTATAAACTAGTCTAGAGTGCCATCTACTGTTAAAAAACTAACTTACCTATTCTTAAAAAACAGCCTAGAGCACCATCTACTGTTAAAAAACTAACCTAGAGCACAATCTACTGTTAAACACTAGCCTAAAGCGCCATCTGCTCTTAAAAACTAGCCTAGAGCGCCATCTGCTCTTAAAAACTAGCCTAGAGCGCCATCTACTGTTAAAAAACTAGCCTAGAGCACAATCTACTGTTAAAAACTAGGCTAGAGTGCAATCTGCTGTTAAAAACCAGCTTAGAGCACCATCTACTGTTAAAAAAACTATCATAGAGCACCATCTACTATTAAAAACTAGCCTAGAGCGCCATCTACTGTTAAAAGCTAGCGTAAAAAAAACCCTAACCCTAATCAATTCAAGAGAGAATAATGCATTTTGAAAGTCTCAGAATCAATGCAAAATCAATTTCTCGAAGGTTTCTCGCCACAGCTCTAGCTGAGAATTCCAAAACTCGTTTTCTTTCACTGGGATTTTGGAGCACACTGGGATTCAACACAGTATTAAACAGTAGGCCAGGCATATCACTAATAAACCATATGCGTTTCTCAAAACAGAGGCACTTTCAATCCATCTGTAAGCTCAAAGGGAGGAAGTTAGTTTATCGTTCATTCCCATTTGGTGTTCAGTGGGGCTGGACGATTAATCAATAGGCGATTTTCATGCACATTTTGTCAGTAAAGCTGGTTCTTATTACTTAACAGAGCCATGGTTCACTGACCAGCTATGCAGAATTGTGTTCAAAATTAAAACTCGATTTCATCTAATGATAATGACATTAAGATAATCGTTCTATGATAAAAATAATAATAGATATTTATGTGGCTTCACAATGAACTACAGCTCTGTGTAGTAAATATTGCATGTGAAACTACCCTGTTTTAACCTAATAACTTCAGTCGAGTGTTTGAAATAAATCCTTCTATGAGATGATTCAGTAGTCCTGCGTTTATTAGTCACACTGAATCAATAAAAGCAGTTAAATCTTCTGTTTGTAATGCAAAGCAATGAGGATTTTCTGGGTTTCTTCTTCAGCACATTTGGAGTTATGTAAGATCGCCCTCTAGCCTTCGGAGGAGATTTACTACTGATCACACAACCGTGCTTTCCAGACAAGATGTGCATGGCAATGGCAGCTTTTCAATTTCATTTCAATAAATCGCCCAGCCCTAGTGTTCAGTAGTGTGTGCACTGGGTTAAACACACACACACACACACATACACACACTACAGTACAGCACATGCTCACACAATCTTCCCACACACACAAGCACTCATTTTACCGCGTCCACAGGAACGTACCCTGTAAACCTGAATATCAGGGCCCTGTTGATCAACAACACACATAAAAAACACACATGATGAACGGGCCTGGATCAGCACCTCGTAGATTCTGCATATTTCAGTGTTTTTCAATCAGTTCCTCACAGATAGTTGATCATCACAACTCCAGTGCAGGGGATTTTTTTTAGGTATTTTAGGCTTAAATAAGCAAGTCTTTGACCTTTCCTTTCTTCTCTTGACATATAAAGGATGTAACTATAGTGTCTGTTTTTTTCCCTTTATAAACACACACTCATGCAGTCTTTCTCTCTCAGGTTCCCACTCCCAGTACTTTCCTCATGTGCTCGTAGACCACGTAGGAGATGCTGACGGCAGGAATGACCTTCAGGAAGTTTGGAGCGATGCCTCGGTAGAGTCCCACAACGCCCTCCTGGGCCACGATACTTCTAAACAGGGTCAGCATGGACAACTGAGGAGCCCCCTTAATCGACGCTGGAGGACAACGAGAGGCAATCACATCAGAAACATGGTAACGAAATGTTTATTTATGTTTTGGAAAAGAGAGAAAGCCTCATGTTGCTGAAAATTTGTCAGAATCAGTGCTAACATACTCTTATAGTTTTTATGAGTATCTTAATATTTAAATTTTCTCTAATAATTTGTGGTTAAAATATTTGGTTATTTTGTTTTTGTCATTTTAATATTTAATTTTTTTTAAGTGTATTTATGTAAATTCATTCATTTTCTTTTTAGCTAAGTCCCTTTACTAATCCAGGGTCGTCACAGTGAAATGAAACAAAATATGTTTTACGCAGCCCTTCCAGCTGCAACCCAATACTGGAAAACACCTATGCACTCTTGCATTCACACAAATAAATTATTTCCAATTTAGCTTATTTAATTCCCCTATAGCGCATGTGTTTGGACTGTGGGGGAAACGGGAGCACTCTGAGCAAACCCACGCCAACACGGGGAGAACATGCAGACTCCACACAGAAATGTCAACTGACCCAGCCAGGGCTCGAACCAGCGACCTTCTATGACGCCCTGTATTCATGTTGTTTTTATTTATTTTTGTTTCAGTTTTAGTTATACAGTGAGTGACAGTTCAAAATTACCACTACCGCCACGGGACTAAGGGATTGTTAAAATGCTTCTAGGTGTAACAACAGATTGTGATAATGCCGCCAGGGGGCACAAAGGGACAGGATGCGAAACAAATAATAAAACAAAGCGCTATAATTCCTTCATGAATCATTAAAAACTTGTTAACAACCCCTATTATCATTGTAAACTTGTTAAGTGCAATGACAATTCATTTGGAAATTAAAACTAAAGAAATAAAAGACAACTTAAATGAAAGTACAAGCAAGCATGCATACATACATACATACATACATACATACATACATACATACCTTAAGAAAGAAGCCTAAATATAGAGAGATGTACAGTGTTTGTTATTTTAAAGTGATGGGACTAAGATAATAAATAAGCTTTGTTCACCATTTTAGGTCATACAGAAATCTGGAGTACGTTTTGAAATGAAATATAGTGTAGAATTTTAGAATTACACAATTAATTCAGTATGTCATTTTTTAACATTTTTGAAAATTAGATAATAAACAGAAAATATTAGTTATGTTATTTCAGTTAAGCAACAAAAATGTGAGGAATGGTGATATTTTATGATGCTTTTGAATGGTTTTGGATTTAGCTAAATATAATAAAGCTGTTCCAAATGTTTAAGGAACATAAATGTAGTTTTTATTTTTATTTTTGGTAAAACTTATTTAAGATCTTTCATGTACTTACAATAGTGATTACAGTTAATTATGCATAATTACATGCTATTATAATAATATACATATAACCTTATAATATAATATACATGCAAACCTTATATTAATATATGTAATCAATATTACTCAGTAGTTAATGAATAGTTACACTGTAACAAGGACAGTTTGAAATAAAGTATAACTTTTTTTATTTTTAATATTAACACGCTTACCAGGCAACCATAAAACCTTTGAATTAATGAATAGCTATATAACCACAGTGTCTTGTAGCATCTTTAGAATTTTTGCATCTTTCATTTTTAGTTTTTGTTTATGACAATAATGCATTTATGACTCGCACTATACATCATCCATGCATCCTCACATTACAAGCACATAAACATGGCAAACAAAAATCACAATGGAAACACATTTACAAATACCATCCTCAATGCACAACAACAAAAAAAGTGCACACATTTGTGTTCCCAAGTATTAGGCATCCAGCATTTACAGCCTTATTTATTGAACAGAAAAACAGGAACTGATGACTTTGTGTCTTCTAAATGTGGTCACACTTTACAATAAGGGTTCATTAGCTAATGCATTCACTAACATGAACTAATAATGAACAATACTTGTACAGCATTTATTAATCATAGTTCAACATTTACTAATGCATTATTAACATCCAAATGCTTGTTAGTCCACCATGAGTTAACAAACTAACAATGAACAACTGTATTTTCATTAACTGACTCTTACTAACATGAACAAACACTGTGATAAATGAATTGTTCATTATTTGTTCATGCAAGTGAAAGCAGTAACTTACATTACTAAATACAACCTTATTGTAAAGTGTTACCAAAACATGTAAACATGGAGGTTTTTCAGAATAACTATGTATATTTAAATTGAATTCTCACCCTGCGCCTGCATGCGTGTGCGTATGAGTGCGAGCGGGTACGACGCCAGCTGCCCACAGGTGCTGGAAACCGTCCCACAGCCCACCAAAACCAGAACCCCGGGGTCCGCCGAGCCTTCAGTGTGCCTCTGCAGCCATGCGTTCTTTAGCGTCTGAGACAGAGGAGATGGAGTGAGAAACAGTCAGCAAACAACAACAAACATTACAACAGTAACAACAAGCTTTATTCAACACAACACCTTTAAAAGTAGCATCTCAAAGCGATTTACATACGCATAAAAGTATGGAGGGGAAAGACCCATGAATAAAAAACTAAACAAAAACAAGGAAATGTTAAAAATCACAAAAAAATGCCAGGTGAGTGGGGTTGACAAACCACCCGTATAAAAAAAAAAAACACATATGGGTTTCTTTGTATATTGAGCACTTGTTGTGTGTATTGCCTGTCAAATGTAATTCGCTTTTTACAAAAGCATCTGCTAAATGACTAAAAGTAAAGTTTGACAATGTTTCTGAGAGGGAAACGTGATGTCTTGACAGTGTCGCGAACATGAGGATCAAATGTAAGGTGAATAAACACACACACACCTCATAGACGGCGAGATCTATGCCCGCGTACGGGATGATGCCCAGCATGTTTGGCAGGTAGCCTTTATAAAAGGCCCGAACGCCCTCCTTCTGCAGGATCTGTTTGGCACAGTCTGCTACGCTTGAATACTGGCCCGTTTTACGCAGAGTTAACCGAGTCTTCAGCACCTGCAGAATAACAGAACAGCATGAGGAAATCAATGTGCAGTCAACACAAAATCTCTTTTTCATGCTTTCTACTCACCAAGACTGCATTTATTTGAACAAATATAAAATTAAAACAGTAATGCTGCCAAATATTATTACAATTTAAATGTTGCGTCGGCAGGTGTGTTTGTCTGTGTGTGTGTGTATCTGTCTCTCTCTCTCCCTCTCTTTCCACCTGCTGGCCCCGCCCTAGCTACGCAGCCGACGTGCCCTGTGATTGTAGGAGGTTACCCAGGGCATCCTTTAAAAAGAGACCACTGGGCGTGGGGCGAGAGAGCGATTATGGTTGGTGTGTTGTTTTTAAATTAATGTGATAAAGTTATTCCTCTTGCTAAGTTGTTATCGTTAATTGTGTTTCCCGTGCTGTTGTGTACGTTTTGACTTTGTGTTGTATATCCATTAGTGTTTCCCCTTCCTATTACTTTGTTTATGGTTTGTTTGTTTGTTGATTGTTAATATTGTAAATATATTATATACGGTAAGAGGCAGTAGGGGTGGACGCCACACTTTTCTTTTTGTAAATATGTTTTTTGTTCTTAGTCAGGGAGGTAGGTGTAGATTTTGTATTTTATTTTCTGTTATTTTATTAGGTGTAGTTAGTTTCATTTGGGTGTTTAGTTAGTGTGTATTTTTGTTTATTATTTTTCTGTGGGTTCACTTCGAGGTTGTCGGCTTCACGTTTTGTTTGGTGATTTTTATTTGTTGGGTGTTCTTTTATGTTGCGGCCTTGACCCTAGACTAGGGTCGTAACATTAAATGAACTGCTTTCCAGTGTAAAGTATGTTTCAATCATTTTTTATTCCTTGATTCAAAGCTGAATTTTTAGCATCGCGACTCCAGTCTTCAGTGTCACATGATCCTTCAGAAACCATTATAATAAGCTGATTTTTTTTTTTATAATTATTTTTTGGGGGTTTTCACCTTTTTTGGGATAGGACAGTGAAGATTTTACAGACAGGAAAGTGTGGGGAGCAGAGATAGGAGAAGGATCGGCAAAATACCTCAAGCCGGGAATCGAACTCGGGTCTCCGTGAGCACCTTGGTGCTATGTGTCAACGTACTAACTACGTTAGTGGCGCCAACTATAATATGCTGATTTGATGACTTTATTTCCCAGGATTCTTTGTTATTACAATTTTTAAAAGAAAAGCATTAATTTAGATTTTAAAAATGATGATTTATTAACATAATAATATATATAGAAGCTATTTTATATAATTTTTTTGAATAAATACAATCGTATTATCCTTAACATAAAAGATCTGATGTTCTAAAACAATCAGGTTATAATAGGTAAAGGAGATTTTTCAAAAAATGTCAGATTAAAATAATTGAACAGTTAAAAATCAAAAGTCTTGAACTAGTAAAGCTAACTAGAGTTGTAATGTTTAATTTAAATGTTTAAAATCATTTAATGTCTGCAAACATATTAATATCTGTTATATCATTCAATATAAATGTATATTCAGGTGGCCAATTGCTATATAACTAAACTAATAATAATAATATATTTTTGCATAAATGTAATTATCTGTTGTATATATGTATATTTTATAATATTGCTGATGCCACTATTTTATAAACAGCATCATTTTATCAAAAGTCCTGTGAGTTTGAAGACTCCAGCGTTCAGTCCATTAACTGCAGCCTTACACACTTCACTGCTCCATTATTCAAGCTGCCAGTAAATGCAGAACACTTGAACTCTACTGGCAGCCTCTGGACATCAGACTCCACATATAAATGTGTGTGTGTGTGTGTGTTTGTATTATAACAACAATGAGGCCTTTAAGTAAAGACCTTGACCTTCACTGTGAGCGTGTGTGTATGAGACTGTGCAATTGTGTGTGTATGTTTGCGTGTGTGTGTGTCTACAAGTGTGTTTTTATTTTCTGTGTCTGTTTTGTGCATATGTGTTTGTAAGTGTGTTTATGTAAGTATGTCTGTAAGTTTGTGCAAATGTGTTTATGTATAAGTGTGCGTGTGTGTCTGTCTGTAAGTATGTGTGTGTGTGTCTGTAAATGTGTGTGTGTGTCTGTAAATGTGTAAGCGTGTCTGTCTGTAAGTAATTGTGTGTGTGTGTGTCTGTAAGTGTCTGTAAGTGTCTGTATAAGTGTAAGCTTGTGTATGTTAGTGTGTGTGTGTGTGTGTGTGTGTGTGTGTTTATAAGTGTGTGTGAGTGTCTGTAAATGTGTGTAACTGTAAGTGTGTGTGTGTGTCTAAATGTGTGTGTGTGTGTGTGTGTATGTGTCTGTAAGTGTGTGTCTGTAAGGGTATGTGTGAGTGTCTGTCTGTAAGTGTGTGTAATTGTATGTGTGCTTTGCTTTATGTGTGTCTCAATGTTTGTGAAAGGGTGTGTGTGTGTGTGTGTGTTTACCTCCATAGGGTATATGATAGTCTGAGCTGTAGCTCCAGCCAATGAACCAGCCACAAATCTCTCATGAACTTTCAGTGTTCCTCCTTCATTACTGCCTCTCATCAAGCGTTTAATCTGAACACACATACACACACACACACACACACACACACAAACACACACACACACACTATCATTTTAAACAGTTTCAAATTACAAGACACAAGGCACGTCCTCATAAACCACCTAAACATTGTAGGTCACACCAATGTCATCATACATTTGTGTCCTCATAAGCTACATAAACAAACACACACACACACACACACACAGTACCTGTTCATAAGCCAGGAATTTGATGGCAGTCTCCGGAGCGATCTTAAGCACATTAATGCCGTTTCCTCTCCAGAGCGCAGTGAGTCCTCCCTCCTTCACCATCGCCCGCAGACCACTCCACACGTTCCCCTTATCTGAGCTCTGACCGTGAACCTGCAGCATTCACAAAAACAAGAATTCTCACAGTTAGATTCAGTTCAACCCGATGAGGGAGCAAAGCAAAAGCACTTGGACCAACTCAACTACAAACGTGCAATGCCTTTCACAGCCTCCAGGGGTCAGTGCGATGCTGGAACATGCAGTTGAGAATGATTAACCCTTCTGTGAATTTTTTTTTTTTTTCAAATAATTTTCAACAGATATTTATTGAAGCAAGGGATTTTCACAGTATTTCATATAATATTTTTTCTTCTGGAGAAAGTCTTATTTGTACTATTTTGGCAAGAATAAAAGCAGTTTTTAATTGTTTTACACTCATTTTAAGGAGTAAAAGTATTTTAAATTATTAGCCCCCTTAAGCTATCTATATATTTCTTTATTTGTTTTGATATTTTGCCTAGTCAACCTAATTAAAATAGTTAAATGTCACTTTAAGCTGAATACTACTATTTTGAAGAATATCTAGTTAAATATTATTTACTGTCATCATGGCAAAGATAAAACAATCAGTTATTAGAGATGAGTTAATAAAACTATTCTGTTTAGAAACGTGTTGGAAAAATCTTCAGAAATTGGGGCTGATCATTTCAACTTGAACTGTAAATGCCCTAAAAAATCCAAGTTGGTTTTCTTTTGAAGTCATAGTAAATTTGATGATTGTTCTGACCTGCAGGAAGACCTTGAGTCTGTCGAGCGGTGCGGTTCCTGTCCGGGACACTGATCCTGCCACGGCTCCTGCCATCAGCTGCCGCCACACGAACCCGGATCGCTTCTCCTTCTCTGAGAACTCGTCTGGAACCGTCAGGTGCTCCCCGATGTCCAGCATCTGCACCACACCAAGGCTGTTTTAGCTTTACAATTTAAACAAGCTTTTATTTCCATACTATTTTTACATTTTCTGTAAATTTCAGGGTAGTTTTAGTTTGTTTCAAAAATGTTTATGTTAATAAAATATTTTGTAATTTTTCAATTCGTATATTACTACCTGCTACACAGTATATAACAAACATATATGCACACATCCCAATTTCCCTCCCTCCACCCATAAACTAAAGGAAACTGGGAAGAATATAATAATAATAACAAAATGTAAATGTAATAAATATAGTAGTGCTGTCAAAAAATTAATCACATCCAAAATGAACATTGAATTTACAGATATAAATTTCAAATAAATTAATATATGTATGTAATCTTTTTAGTTTTGTATGTTTTTTGTATTTTATATATTTAATTATAATTATACACACCTACACTATGTAAATACAAACTTTTATTTTAAAGGCAATTAATTATTTTTAATCATGTGACAGCACCATAATAAAGATAATAATGAAGTAGTAATAATAATAAAAAACAAACGAAAAGTAAGAAAAAAAACACATAGATGTATATATATATATATATATATATATTTTTTTTTTTTTTTTTTTTTTAGAAATATATCCTAAATCAAGCAATTAATAGGTGCATCCCAACGTGCATACTTATGCACTATTCTACTGCCTTTTATAGTATAAATAGTGTAAGTAGTGTGTTCACACAGAAAAATCCAAAATAATAAGTGCACTTTAATTATCATTAATTAATTAGTACAAAGTGTGTAATGTTGGACACTTCATGCACTCAACAGGCGCTGCTTTACTCACATAGAAGAAGGGGCGGGGCTATCGGGCGCACATGTTGGATAACTTGGATATTCTCCTATGAGAGTGATTATACCACCTCCCGATGGTGAATGCGGTTATACTCATGCAGGTGTTATTTGGTAGTTTGGGCATTTATTTCACAAATTTGGCAACTGTAAAACATCATCAGGGAAAGGGTTTGAATTTCTGCTTATTAAAAAAACAGTGCTCCATTTGGGACAACGCTACATTCATATACCATACTGTTGAGTGTGTAAGTGCATAAGTACATAGCGCATAAGTGCATAGTGTATAGAGTGCCACTTGGGACGCAGCTAGTGGTTTTGTATATATAAAAATATTATTGTGTACGTTCGGCTGTAAAAGCGCCATCCACTGGTACTTCTATAAATAGTCACACGACAAAACACAAAGTAAGAAAAGCATTTTTGTCGTGTTACTGTTGTTAGTTTCATTCGTTTTAGTTTTTTTATTTATTACAAAAAGAATATTTACTTAAAATAGTTTTTATTTAATTTTAAGTCTATTAAAGAATCTGTATTTTGACCAATAGTTTTGGTTTTCATTTTTGTTTACTGAAATCACACACACAGCACCGCTATTTGTCAATAAATACAGACGCTCATGTTACAGCCATACAAAGCTCCTCATACCACTGAGTGCTTCCAGAACTGAGCGATTTCCTCCATGTTGTGTAGAGGGTTGAACAGGAAGTGATCTCGCCACTCGATCCAGTCAATAGTCATGGAATGATCTTTATCCATACTGTATGAACATATAAACCACATTTAGCATTTCTGAAAAGTGCTTTAAATAATATAGATTTTTCCACATGAGAATGATTATATTTAAATGATGAGCTGCATTTAGGGTTTTAGGGAACTTCCTTTTAAAATGACTGAAACAAATCATTTTAAATAATAAGATTGTAAAGTAAATAGGGATACAAAACTCCAGGAATTTTTAAGGTTGTACACTTTCTATTGGTATATATTGGAATTAACAAGAAATAAAGGGACAGTTTACACAAAATTATGACTTTTATTTCCTTCCTCTGTTGAACACATGAAAAATTAACATTTATTTTATATATTTAACAACATGTTTATCCTTATTTAACAGTATTTTGTTCTAAATATCACAAAATTTTATTTTAACCATGGAAATCCTGGAGAAAAACATTTACATAAGTTACTCCCTTAATTCACACACCCATAAAATGTCATGGGGAGTGTGAAAATGTGGATATGCTAAGCACAAACACACACCTTTGCAGTATTTTAGCAGCCTGTTCTAGTGTGATGTCCACGCCGAGATTGTGTAAGGACTGCTGGATCTCCCCGACATCCACTTCACCTACAAAACACACAGAAGTGCATCAATTATGTGTTATTATACTGAAGAATAGCTCTTAAGAGTGATTTAATTGGTTATATGCTAATGCTAAAATGCTAATCTAGATGCTAACAGTATTATCGGTAGCTGCCCCTGCTGAAAAAAACAGCTTAAACAAGCGTAGGCTGTTTTAGCTGGTCGACCAGGCTGGTTTTAGAGGGGTTTTGGCCATTTCCAGGCTATTTTATAGCCATTTCCAGCCTGGTCTTAGCTGGTCAGGCTGGAAAATGACCAGCTAAATCCAGCTAAAACCTGTTTGACCAGCCTCGTTTAAGCTGGACATAGCTCCCAGCCTGGCTAGGCTGGTCAAGCTGGTTTTAGCTGGTCATCTCCCAGCCTAAGATCAGGCTGGAAATGGCTGGAAACCATCCTGTTAATGGCCAAAACCCCTCTAAAACAGCATAGGCTGGTTTAAGCAGTTTTTTTAGTAGAGGCTACGGGCAATGTGATGTTATAAAGTGACCAACAGTATGCACATGCTAAGGTGAGGGTAAAAGCTAATGCTAAATTGAGAGTTTATAACCAACTAACCATCATTGTTTCGGTCCAGGCTGCGAAACATGAGTCTAAGGCGTTTCTCATGTGAGCGCAGGTACTCGGTAAACTCTTCGAAGTCCAGCTGACCGTCGTGATTGATGTCTCCCGCTCGTACAATCTGCTGAATATAGGGCATACACAGAGAAAGAGGAGGACAGAGAGAGAGATGGAGGGAAAGAGGGATGCCGGGAATCATTAGGAAAGGTGGGATGGGGTGCAAATGAAGGAGAGATGCACATTAAAACCATGCAAAGCCACCAGCCCCCATCACCAAGAACAAACACGAGCAATCAGACGGTTCTACTTCTGACATTAATCAATAGATTGATTAATTTCATTCTTATTATCGATGCATTAAAGAGACAGTTCACCCTAAAATGACAATTATTCACTCATCCACCACTTGTTTTAAAGTTTCTTTCTTCAGTTAAACTCAAAGGAAGACATACTGAAGAACGCTGAGGGAAAACAGCCATTGACTTCTATAGTATTTATAAGGGATGCACCAAAACTCTGAATACACTTGGCTGATTCATTCATTCTTTCATTTTCCTTCAGCCTAGTCCCATTATTTATCAAGGGTTGCCACAGCAGAATGAACCACCAACTTATCCAGCATGTGTTTTACACAGTGGTGGCCCTCTAGCCGCAACTCAGTAATGGGAAACACCCATACACACCCATTCACAAACAGCATTCTCACAAACATTCTCAGCCAATGAAAAATAGTCCACAATCAACTACTGTCATAGCTGGGATATTTGCATAAAGCGATCTGATTGGCTGATGCTTGAAAAGTTGATAAATTTCTAAGCATTGCCTCTGAATTGGTGTCGATGGATCCACAATTCAGTTCGTTCAAAGCTTGACGTCACCCATTCCAAGTTAATGGGAAGTGTTGATGCAGATGCCCCGTGTGAATAGGGAGATACACTACGGCCAATTTAGTTAATCAATTCACCTATAGCACATGTGTTTGGACTGTGGGGGAAACCGGAGCAACTGAAGGAGACCCACGCCAACACTGGGAAAACATGCAAACTCCACACAGAACTGGCACAGCTGGGACTCGACCCAGCGACCTTCTTGCTGTAAGGCGACAGTGGTAACCACTGAGCCATGGTGCTGCGAAATTCACATCATGTCCAGCTAAAAATGTCTAAAATATGATCAAACAAGGAGACAAAAGTCGGATTCAGTGACTATAGAGAGAGTGAAACCAGCGCACTGAACACTTCTGGACAGTATGGCACAACATTTTTGTCCTCTCATATATTCGTCTGCTTTTCTTTTTCAACCGAAAACCAAAAATCTGAAAATAGACAATCATTTTGGAGGCCAAAAATTTGTGCATGCCTACATATTTCCTTCTATATCTTGCTTTGTATTCAACAGAAGCAAGTCATAAAACCACTTGAGTGTGAGTAAATAAGGAAGTTTTCATTTCTTCGTGAACTGCCCCAAATACAGAACACAACAGATAAAAAGCCAAGCGCACAAAACAATAGCCGTATATTGTGCGGTTACATCCAGAGACCTATTCTCGTAATTGTTTTCTCGTAACTGTGTGCTGTGTTGAGTTTCAGAGAGTCGCTGTAGTTCTGCTCTTGAGTTTCTTCTTTTGTGTTTGGAGGGTTTAGTTTAAAAGGTTTTACTCCCCAGGCAGGGGGAGTATTGTTTGCTATTTGGGTCTCGCCCCATCCCGAAGGCAATGCTACCCTGTTATAGGGATAATTAAGACACACAAATAAACATTTCCACAAGCTCAACTGGTTCTCCTGTTAAACACAAGACAACACATACTGAAGAATGCTGGAACAAACCAGCCATTGACTTCTATAGTATGACAAGAAATACTATGGAAGCACTGAAAAAAATGTTGCATGCAGAACTCTTGCAAACTATTTATTTGTGTTGAATTTAAACAAACAAATTAAGTTTAATAATGTTCAACTTAATTTGTTTGTTTAAATTCAACACAAATAAATTGTTTACAACCACTTAACCTAAAAAAAATTGAGTAAATCCAAGGAATCATCTCTAAATATTTTTTTTTAGTGCAGCATTCTTCAATATATGTTGTCTTGTGTTCAACAAGAAGAGGATGAGTAAATGATGCCGCGCTTTTCATTTTTGAGTGAACTATCCCTTTATTTACTATTAATTTGCATATGAAGAGTTGTGATTTGCTAGTGTCTTGCTCTACTACTAGAGATACAGGAAATACAACAGTGCAGCAGACCATGTTAGTGCACACGAATCCACATCAGTAGACAAACTGCTTAAATAACACGTTCAATTATTTTTAAAGTGGCATTTTATGAGAGCACTGTGCTAATAAACCTGCATCTGGGCATTAACACTGCATCTAACAGCACTAAAGCAGACACATGGAGGTGTCACCGCATGCTTTTTTAGGGTGTCGTCTCACAATATAGACTTTTTTAAATTCCCAGAGCCGCATGTCTGAACGTGTTTGCATGCTCTGTGCAAACGTGGAGGATTACAGGCATTTATCTGCAAGCCTCTGGGGTTTACAATCAGCTAAATTGCACTTACTTTTAATTTCATAAGAATAAACTTAGTTAAAGTGACCAACGTAATACACCAATATAGAGGCTGCTGCCACTTTAAATGCACACTTGTAAATGAATTCCAATGTTTAATGCAAGCCACACCACAATCCTTGGTATGCAAATGACCCTCTAATAGCAGAAATGCCAGTAATTTCAGCATTTTAACTGCTTTGGCCTGTTCTGTGAGTATGCTGTGTGTGTTGTTGTGTTGTGTTTATTTATACGAGCCAGCAGTCAGATGGTATTTACTCTCACATGGGTCGACTCTGACCTTTAGCACGCACTCTACACAGCCTATGTGTGAAACGCAATACTTTCTTCCCAACGACATTCATCATAATGCAAAAAATGCATGCAGACACATGCTGGCATCATATCTGGCATCCAAAACTAGTGAACAATCATGTGCAAAATATCAGCATGACATACGATTGTCCCATGCATACAGGCCAACTGAATAATCACTTGCGCTGAGGTGTAAAACACAGTGTTAAAGCACAGGATGTGTGTGTGTGTATAAACAGCATGCCTCATGCCGTGGACAGAATAACTCTGTGTCGTTTAAAGACTGTGTGTCTGTTTGATCACGTCTTCTTATTGTTTCCCAGACATCAAGTTTAACCTGTTGACATTAAAGGGGATCTATTATGCTAAAAAGCATGTTTAAACACAGTTGTGTGGCAGAAGTGTGTGATTACAGCCAGATTCTAATAGTAAAAACTAATTAATTGTATTTTTTATAATCACTCTTGATAAAAGCAGTCTGCAGAAACACTTTGATTGGCATTCTCCCTTTGTACGTGCCATCAGAAGGGGAAAGCCCCGCCCACTAGTGACCATCTCTCCCTCATTAGCATAAACAGCCCTAAGTGAGAAGCAGCCGTCCGCCATTAGAGTTATGAATCTGATTATGTATGTAATATCTGTTCTGTAGAGAGGTGTGGTAAATTACATTAATTTCAGGTGCCAAGCATTTGTGTTGCATGCCTATCCAAATTTGACCAGTCAGATTGGGCCGTACTATCTTTATCCCTGCCTTCCCCTGGTGTTCTGCAATTGGCTAGAGGGGGCCAAAGGTGCCTATATTAGGTTTAATATCTATTACCCGTTTATTTTAGTATAATCATAACACAAATAAAGATTTTTTTATTAAATGATTATTTATTGCATTTTTTATTAACATTTTTAAAATGAATTATAATAAACACATTCAAACAAACCAAGAGGCAATTGCCCATTGCTAAATAAAAATAAAAGAATGCTAAAAAAAGGAAAATAACAATTATTAATTAATTTAATTAATTTTACAAATGACGTAGAAAAAAAATCTAAAATATTTTTGAAAGAATAAATAAATATAAAAATGAATTAATTAAAAACGTAATAATAATAATAATAATAATAAAATTAATAAACATAATTTGAAAGAATAAATACATCAATAAATGAATTAATCGGAAAAATAATGATAAAAAATACTCATAATATATTGGTAAAACCAACAAACATAAAATTATGACATACCATAACTTTAAAAATTACTATAAATATATATATATATATATATATATATATATATATATATATATATATATATATATATATATATATATATATATATATATATATTTATAATTTTTGTAGGGAGATATTAGATCATAAGAAATATAATATATTAATAATAGGGCTGCATAATTAATTGAAAAAATATCACAATCTCAATTTAACCCAACACACAATCTTAATTCAGCTTTTCTACAATTCAGCCAACTATGTTTTATGTTTTTAGGTCAGAAGGATAGCGTAAAGACAGTGCACAAGTCTTCACATTGTTTTTTTTACGTTGCTCAGCAACATGGACACCTCCAAATGGTGTTAAAAGTGTCACATTATGTACAGTTGAAGTCAGAATTATTCGCCCACTTTGAATTTTTTTTTCCTTTTTAAATATTTCCTAAATGATGTTTAACTGAGCAAGGAAAATGTCACAGTATGTCTGATAGAGTTTTTTTCTTCTTGAGAAAGTCTTATTTCTTTTATTTCAACTAGAATAAAAGCAGTTTTTAATTTTTTAAAAGCCATTTTAAGGTCAAAATTATTAGCCCTTTTAAGCTATATTTTTTGATAGTCTACAGATCAAATCATCGTTATACAATAACTTGCCTATAATTACCCTAAACTGCCCTCACTTTAAGCTGTATAGAAGTGTGTTGAAAAATATCTAGTCAAGTATTATTTACTGTCATCTTGGCAAAGAGCCAATAAATCAGTTATTAAAGATGAGTCATTAAAGCTATTATGTTTAGAAACGTGTTGAAGAAATCTGCTCTCTCTGTTAAACAGAAATCAGGGGGGGAAAAATAAACAGGGGGGCGAATAATCGAATTTCTGTCTCAACGTAATGATGTATTCGCGGCCGCGAAGTCACACATGAGCTGTTTGTTTACTACCGAGAGGACGCACGTGCCCACCAATGATGTCTACTTCAGTGAACAGAACCGGCATAAGCTGTGAATAACAGCTTTATAAAAGATTGTAAATAACATTCAGTTAGTTGCAAACTGAACTCAAAGTGGCGGCAGCCATGACATGAGCCACACTTGGCGGTGAAAGGGAAACCGAAAGTGCGCACATCATTTACATGATCATATCGCATTTTAGAGTTATGATTACAACAAGCATTTGATATGGTCTTGCTTTCATAGCAAACACAGTTTGTTGTGCATGAGAATAAATGTTTACGGGGTCAGTATAACAACTCTAGCCTATATAATGTAGAATATAATGCAAGAGTTGAGTCTGATAATGACAAATGTTTTATTTTACCAGTGAAAACAAATGGTCTAATAATGTTGTCAATGACAAATGACAAGAACATGTCTCAAACATCATAATTCAACTTCAGAATTATGAGTAGTCGTATTCTGTAATCACTTTACTGTGGATTAATGACCAGAACAGATTTAAAGTCTATTCAAGTCCACCATTCAAAGTCTAAACAAAATGTAGCATTTTAACCAACAGTAGACCTACTCACAGGCCTAATATTATTATTGTTGTTTTATCATGTATTTGAGCCTTAACAATTATAATAGCCTAATCATAATAACCTTTATTTTAATTTAATTTGAAGCAAAAAAAAAACTGTGATTCTCATTTTAGCCAGAATTGTGCAGCCCTAATTGTTATAGCAAAACTCAACGACAATATTATTATTTAACATTATATTATTTTCCCAGTATTGTGCACTACTATTTAGTAACGTATAACTTGTGCTAAAAATCACTGGACTACAAAGTATGAGCAAGACTGCTTCTAAACTTAACATGCACACTACTCTGCAGTATTATCTAAGAAGGCAGGTGAAGCCCCGGTGATGCTGATTCATAGCCAGTGGGTCATGATGCCCTTCCTCTGTTCCTGACCTTCAGATCATTAATTCTCAAGCTCATAAACTGGTTCATTAGTGCTGCAACACGAAACTCTTATCTGCCCTGTTCCTGACCTCAACACAGAGGCCCTCAAACATGCTTTCTGCTTTAAGAAGCACTAAGGGCCCTATCATACACCCGGCGCAGTGTGGCGCAAGACGCAGTGCAGTAGTCTTTTGGTAGTTTCAGCTTGGCGCAAGAGTGGTTTTAAGGCGTTGCGCTACGCTGTTTAAATAGCAAATGCATTAGCGCTCATCTGTGCGCCCATAGGTGTTCTGGTCTAAAAAGGAAGGCGTTCTGAGGCGGACCGTTGGCGCATCGCTATTTTGAGAAACTATAATAGATTTTTCATTAGACCAAAACAAACCCGGTCTAAACTCCTGCGCAGAGTTGCACCTCGCTTACGCACTGCTTAATACACACACGAGAGCAATAGGCAAATATCTTTACATATGAAAAAAATTTAATATTAAAGGTATAAATAGGATATAATAAGAATAGATATAGGATATAAATATAAAGGATTAAAATATTACAAAACATATTATTTTCTAGCCTACATAAATCTGAAAAATCACTGCCTTTATGTCTTCTTCATCTCGGGAGGCTTTTTCAGTTCATTCATAACAATTTGCTTTTGTATAATGTTATTATTATTAGCAGTATTATTTATTATATCCATATTTATATTTGTTTGATTAAAAACAAGCTTAGATTTGCCCACCTGTCAGGTTTTAGACCATATGGGGCACAGCATGTGTTTTAGGATATAACTCAGTATTTTGACCACACTTGGTCATTATTGTTCATTTATTAGTTTGCTGGAAATTAGAACTGAATTTAGAAATGGCTTTGAAACAAATCTTTGCGCTTAACAAACAAAATTAAATATTTATAGGCTAATTGATGTCTGTGCGTAAAGGTTTCCCTATCCAAGAGCGAAAGTGAAAGTGATCCATTATCTCTCATTCTCACGCAGTAGATGCTCTGTTTAACAGTTTTCTGTAAAAAAAACTGTTTGCTTGTGAAATGCTCATTTTTTTCCACTTAAACTTACTTTGCGTCCTGTAAATAGCGAATGCGCTCTTGCCGCTGGCTCTTAAAGGGAATGGGAGATGAGACTCTAATTGGTTTATTCTCAAAACACACCTATAACTCATTAAGAAAATAAACTCAACCCTTTTAGCCCATGCGCCTTGGCGCAAAGCGTCAAAATAGAGCACTAAGAGTTTGAGTTGGTTGAGTATTTGTTGGTAAGCAGCTTCACAATGGGTTGTTATTATACTTTCTAATGGCTCCGGCACATCTGTCTAATCTGAGATGAACATCAGGAGGGAATATTGTTGGTTGGTCACTATGCACTCAGATATAAAATATAGACTTTATTATTGTGTTTTAGAGAGTATTATTGTGTTTAATGCTACACGCAGATAAACCACAGGTCATTTAGGGCTTTTTTGCTTTCAAATTAATTTATTTTGGGATATTATTCCAACTGAGATGATATATTTCCTGTAAATTATGTAATATTTTATACATTGCAGCCTATTCACTTTATTTTAGTCATCTGAGCTGAGATTTAATCATCTGTTTTAGCTGTAGCGTATATAAACTGTTGAATTTAAAGCTGTAAACTCTGTTCAGCTTCCTAATTTTGACAAATGGTATTCATTTGCATATAATGTATGTTTATTTTCATAATTTTTAGTGCAAACACCATTTCCGACACATATTTTTTTCCAGCTAATAAAGCGGTATGTAATCACAGGAACAGATTAAGGGGATAGTTAGTTCACATAAAGGATTTCCTCATCATTTGCTCAAACTCAAGTGGTTGTAATTAGGCCTATTTGTATGCAGCCCCTCTTCTTGGTGTATAGTTTATATCTTGTTTGTTATAGCCCTGCGAACGAGAGACTGGACGCTGCAGTTGACCAGACGAAAACAGAAATATATACAAATGCCTTTTGAATAAACCTATTTAAACCCGAACTAGCCTACATTGTCATTCACCACAATCTATGGTGAATTGTGCCTCTGTAGCCTAATGTAAGTTTGTTTTTATTCAGTGTTCAAATAGAAAGTTTAGCCTATATTTACGAGTCTATATTTACGAGTGACGTGACGTCGAACTTAATTTTGCGTCATCGGGAGTTGAAAAATAACTTTTTTCGACTCTCAAGGGGAAATTATAGCATCTAAAAAAAGTGAAAGGGACATGTAAGTTTCTTTCTTTTGTTGAACAAAGAAAGATATTCTGAAGAATGTTTAAAAAGCAGCCATTGACATGGTACAAGCAAAAGACACTAGGAAGTCAACGGATGTTTTCCCAGCATTCTTCAGCATATCTTCCTTTGTGTTCAACAGAAGAAAGAAACTCAAACAGGTTTGAAATAAGCTGAGAATGAGCAAATAATGGCACAGTATTCATTTGTGGGTGAACTATCCCTTTATATATTATTAATTTGCATATGGAGATTTGAGATTTAAAACAAAACCTTTGCATAGCAAAAGTCTTGCTCTACTATTTGAGCTGCTTGAATAGCAAGATAATTAAATTACATATTTTTAATTAAGTGTGAACTATCCCTTTAATTAACCCTTTACATATAAAATGGCTAGAGTACATTCTGTACAGTAGGACGCGGACACAGCGTTCAGACCTGCTCTAGATAACCACGCCCCCTACGAAATCTCATTGGTCTGCTCACTTTAATATTAAACATCAAAAACAAACCGATTGGCTGCGATTGTATCGCGTACTGCAGCATTTTCGCTTTCAGTGTTTAGATATGATCACGTGACCAAGAGATGCAGCAGGTTATTATTATTATCTCCAAATCTGACTTTGAGTCGTAAACCTGCTTATTAACGCTCAGTCTATAAATACCCTCGTGTTATGTCGGCATGTGCTGGTTTCTGTACCTCCTCCACCGAGCTCCAGGATAGCCCGCGGGCTGCGAGTCCGATCCGCAGCTCGTTGACATCCACCCGGCCGTCTTTATTGAGGTCCAGCTGCTGGAAGAGTTCGGCCCAGAGCTGCTCGCGGTCTTGGTCCACCCCGCTGTCCTGACAGCGCGCCTGGGTCCATCCCCGCGGCCACATGATGAGATCCACGCGCGGTCACCCTCGTATACACATCGGCTCCGGCGGAAAAGACTTCCGAATGCGTCCAGAAAAAGGCGAAATATAAAACCCCTCGCGTCGCGTCCTCAGAGTCGCGTTCTGAGAGTCGCGTTCTGAGAGTTGCGTCCTGACAGTCGCGTTTGGCAGACGGCGTCAAACAGCTGTGTATCGCTACTACGGGAACCAGGAAGCTTTCGCAATCACGAATAATAATGCGGTACTTCCAGGAAATCCACGCGCGTGCCGCCGTTTGCTGTCCATTCGTACCGTGACATTTGGAGACGAGGAGAAAATCGCGCGCTGCTTTAATGCGTCAGAACATGATGAACGCGCTTCAAACGTAGAGCTGCCGATACAACAGCGGCTTCAGATTACACCGGCAGGAGGGGCGAGCTCCTGCCAACACACACACACACACACATACATACATGCATACATACATACACACACACACACACACACCGATAGTGGCTCAAAATACCTAGAACTGACGAGAGAGAGAGAGAAAATCATAAAGCATGCCTCATTCATGAAATGCAGAGTCAGTCACTATTTAATGTAGTGTACATGCACAAACACATACGTTTGTTCTGTGAATTGTGGGCACATTCCACAATTTTTATAATGTACAAGCTGTATTATTTATTGCCCTAAATTGCATTTTAGGGGAAAACATTCACTATGAATGTTTTATAAGCGGTGATGCGTGTGGCGCAGTGGGTAGCGATATCGCCTCAGAGCAAGAAGGTTGCTGCTTTGAGCCTCGGCTGGGTCAGTTGGCATTTCTGTGTGGAGTTTGCATGTTCTCCCCATGTTGGTGTGGGTTTCCTCCTGGTGCTCTGGTTTCCCCCGCAGTCCAAACGCATGTGCTGTAGGGCAATTGAAAAAGATAAAATTGTCCATAGTGTATGTGTGTGAATGAGAGTGTATGGGTGTTTCCCAGTGATGGGTTGCAGCTGGAAGGGCATCCGCTGTGTAAAACATATGCTGGATAAATTGGTGGTTCATTCGGCTTTGGCGACCCCAGATTAATAAAGCCGAAAAGAAAATGAATGAATGAATTATTTATAAGCTTTTCGAGAAATGGGGACATCAGCAACATCCTCATAATTCACCCTCTCATTGTAATACCTGTGTAATAGGCAAGGCAAGTTTATTTATTTATTTACCTATGACACTCACATTTGTGTCTTGATATGTCACTCTCACACACACACACAGACACACAGATTTGTTTCACTATCTTAGTCAGGACATTACATTAGACGTCCACTGTTTTTCTCTCAGGTTAATGACACAATGGCCTACCCCCAACCCTAACCTCAACCCTAACAGAAACATCAGATACTAACAAAAGCATATTCTGGCAGTCAGTCAACACCAGTGGGTTGTTTGTTATCGCTATATAAGTGAGGACAACTGAGCACTCACAGTCACAAGTATAGATAAACCTGTATACACACACACACACACACACACACACACACACACACGAGTAGTGTCCTCCAGAACTGAATATGATCTTCTCATTAAGGCACAGCTGGTTATTGGGATTCAGGTGTATGAAGTCATTTCCTGAGAATTCATGAATAATTCATTAGAGTTAGTAGGAAGTGGGTTTGCAGGGCAGCAATATTGAAAACCTTTGCAACAGGCATAAATAGGCAGAGGGATCTGTGTCGTTATAATGCCGTCGATAAGCTTGGTTGGTAATAAAGATGCACAACCAGGGATTTCTTGATTTAGAATTTGCGTTATCTCTACATGCCTCCTCATTCATTTCACTTTTTGTGTCGTGTATGAGCTTGCTCAATAATCATGAGCAAATGGGTCAGGGTTTCATATATTACAATGCGTTTTCATAATTTTCAGAGCCCAAAATGAATGATTTACCCAATTTATCTCTAACCACACCATACATAAACAGTTTATTATTATTATTTCTTAGCCACAAATTTTAAATGTGTGAAAACATGCAAAATATAGCTGAATACTATACTTTTTATTTAACAAAACATATGCACAGTCATATGTCCTGGCTAAACGTCCCAGATCACCAGTTAACTACACATAAATGAGGAGTTATTCTCCCATTAAAGCAATGTTATTGTAAAAAAAAAAAGATAATTAAACCATATTAATGCAAAAGAAAGCAGGTAAAAAACATACTGTGTGATAATGAAAGGATGATCACACACGCATGGTTAATGATAGACCCATAAATTATCTTTTCAAAGAATGGTTAAACCCAAAGCAACTGGCGCTGCTTTTAATGAGTCAACTCTGAAACTCTTGAAAGCAGCAAGACTGTGGGTGCACTTTCCTCCCTTTTTGTTCAGTCTATTTGAAAAAGAACTGATCGCATCAGTTGTGTTTCTAGACACAGTTGCTTCACAAAAGAAAACGGGAGCGCGTACGCGTTATAAACAGTTGCGCGCATCACCTCAGCTGTTAGCGCGAGTGATTATCCTCTCATTCGGTATTCACCTGCTTTGCTCGCGCGAAGTTGCGAACGCAATTATTTTTGTCAGTCTTGTTGCTCCTCAATCGCCTGTGCATGCATATTGGACCATCCTTATTGTCGAACCCTGCTTTTAAAATTATTATCAACCAGCCAAAGTGGCTTGTGGAAGTGTCTGTCTTACCCGCCACCGCCGAAATCTACCCGCATTTGGCTGGTGGCGGGTGTAAATGTAAAGCCCTGTAAGTAACCCAAACAGTATTTAATATCTTTACACTGAAAATGAAAACAGTATATTATACTCTGATGAGGTTCGAACTCGGATCGGCGGCGTCGAAACGTAATGCGCTAACCACTAAACCACGACGACGCTGTTAAGCACTGCTCTGTTATCTGCTGCTATTGATGTCTACTCTTTTTCTCCCCTTTTAAGATTTCTAATCGAGTAATGTCAGACTTATTAATGTAGTGAATCATCTGATTTTCTTTGAGCAGGTGTAATATTCATTAATATTCACTAAGGTGTCGTTGTTTGGGGTGGAATGGGGTGCAGATGATCATCATTAAACTGCGGGCTGCATTTTGCTCACTGGGCTGCGAGAAATTAAATAAAACGGGCGGAGCTCAGCAAAATAATGAATAAAAAGAGTGAGGTTATGGTCAAATAAATGAAAAAAGTGCAACTGCTGAGAGTGCAAGCAGCTAGGGACACCGGCCCTCGCGGCCAAAAAACGGACCGGCCCACCGGGAATTCTCCCGGTTCTCCCAATTAGCCAATCTGGGCCTGTGCACAACCAACAGCAACCAACCAACAGTGCAAGCGTGACAGTGAAAGATTGAAGCAGTGCACTGACGCTACCCCCATAGCAAAATTTCCCTGGCCCAGATCTGGCCCACACCGTCAGCATTTGCTTGGCCCACATGCCGCAGTGAATTACAGCACATGACTGGACCAAGTCTGGCTTCCATACAAGAGGCAAACATGGACCATATCTGGGCCAAGTCTCAGCCAAGTTAATAACCCATAACCGGGCCAGACATGTTAGTGTGTCACGACTGCAATGTTTTTTATAAACACAATGCTAACCGCTGAGCCAGTGTGTCGCCTGTACATTTAAATTCCATGTAAGGCTGTAAGGATCACTTCTGTGTCTTTCCACAGTCCAGCAGTGTCTGTTCCTCCACCATCATGCATCTGTTCTGTTTTCCAGCTGTATCTGATAGTGAAACTTACACAACACAACACAACACACTCCCGCCCACACGACGACAACAATGTTCAGTTCAGTCTCAGCTCTTCTTCAACACCAGCAGCTCAACACACAGCAGAGAATGGAAACAAACCATCGATGAACATCATGTGCAGATCAGCACACCGATATCAGACACACACTGCACACCTGTCGCACTCACACACACACACTTGTATAGCTATCTTTATGGGGACTTGCCATTGACATGATGTTATTACTGTACAGACTGTATATTCTATTTCAAACCCTCACAGGAAACAATCTGCATGTTCACAATGATCAGAATATTTAATTCTAAAAGATTTATATGAGTCATTTTCCTCATGGAGACCAAAATGTCCATCCAAGGTCAAAATTTACTAATATTGCTATACTTTGGGGGACATTTTGGACACACACCACACACACACACACACACACACACACACACACACACACAATAACAAAGAAACACAAAGACATACAGATACACATAGGCAGACATGCACACACACACACACACAGATACACAGACACACAAACTCATGCAGACAGACACACATATACAGACACACAGAGACAAAAACACATATAGACACACATGTACAGACACACACACAGAAAACAGACACACAGACAGACATACACATATACTGTACATACACACACAAACAGACACACATATACAGAAACACACACACACACACACACACGCAGACAGGCAGACACATACACACACACACAAAGAACAAACACACACACACAAACAGAAACACATATACTAAAACACAAACACACACAGGCACACAACTAGACACACACACACATACACCGGGGCACACACACACACACACACAGATAATCATTCACACACACTCAGACAGACACACACACACGCAGAGACATACACAGACACACACATACTCAGAAACAAGCACACACACACAAACAGATACACACACAGTCAGATAAACACATATGCATGCACACACAAACACACACATTCATACAGAAACAGACAGACACGCACACACACACAAACACACACATTCATACAGAAACATACACACACACACACACACACATTCATACAGAAACAGACAGACACGCACACACACACAAACACACACATTCATACAGAAACATACACACACACACACACACACACACACACACATTCATACAGAAACAGACAGATACGCACACACACACAAACACACACATTCATACAGAAACATACACACACACACACAAACACACACATTCATACAGAAACATACACACACACACACACACACACACACACATTCATACAGAAACACACAGGGACAACTACACACACACACACTCTTTCTGATGAAAACTGCTGTCAGCTGCTGTCTACACGTCTATCTGAACATCACGTCCACACAACACACACACACACACAGGAGATATGTTAACACTCATTGTGTTTGTGTTCTCTCCCGACAGCTGTGTGTGTTCATTCTCGATCTCAGGATCAGATTATTCTGTCTATATAAGAGCAGCACAGAAACAGACGCGCACAAACACACACACACACACACACATCTGACCGTCGTTCCAGCGTTCTGTTTCTCAGTGATGTGCAAGGGGCTGTCCGCCATCCCCTCCTCATGCCTGGAGAAGTGAGTATCTACTTTCTTGAACACACACACACACACACACACACACACATGATGGAATTGAAATTGTGTTTGGATGTGACATTATGTTGTGGTGTTTCAGGGCGAAGGGCATGAGGGTCAAACTCTCCCACCTGGCCGAAAAACAGGACAAACACAGGTAACACAACTGCACCGACTACTCCCATTGAAAGGGGTCATATCACACCGTTTTACTAGATGTTAAATAAATCTCTGATGTCTCTAGAGTGTGTGTTTGTGTGTGTGTGTGTGTGTGTGTGTGTGAAGTTTCAGCTCAAAATATCACACAGATAATGTTTAATAACTTTTTGACTGAGTTCGCGTGGGTTTCCTCCGGGTGCTCCGGTTTCCCCCACAGTCCAAAGACATGCGGTACAGGTGAATTGGGTAGGCTAAATTGTCCGTAGTGTATAAGTGTGTGTGTGGATGTTTCCCAGAGATGGGTTGCGGCCGGAAGGGCATCCGCTGCGTAAAAACTTGCTGGATAAGTTGGCGGTTCATTCCGCTGTGGCGACCCCAGATTAATAAAGGGACTAAGCCGACAAGAAAATGAATGAATGAACTCTCTGACTGACCCTTTTAGGCTTTGATCCTAATTGCGGTGTTTTGGTGACTGTCGCTTTAAATGCAAATGAGATTGTGCTCTTTTCAGAAGAGGGCGGAGCTACAAATGCCTAATGTTTGCAAAATAGTTCTCTTTTAAACAAACATCCTGGTTTGAGTGAAAATAAATGACATTTTGTACTAAAACAAAAAAATCCACTTAAGAACAGGACATCTGCTGAGTCTTAAAAAGTCTTAAATTTAAAAATTCAGGCCTTAAAAACTCTTTAATTGACTAAAATATGGTGTTGTATTTATTTCACCCTTATTTCTCTAGCGCTTTTACAATGTAGATTGTGTCAAAGCAGCTTCACAAAAAAAAAAAAAGATCATAGTAAACGTAAACAGTGTAATTCAGTTATTAGAGTTTAAGTTCAGTTCAGTTTTGCTTAGTTCAGTGTGGTTAATAATCACTACTGAGAGTCCAAACACTGAAGAGCAAATCCATCGATGTGCAGCTCTACAGATCCAGAACCATGCAAGCCAGTGGCGACAGCGGCGAGGAAAAAAGAAAACTTCACAAATTGGCAAAAGCAGAGAAGAAAAAATAAACCTAGAGTGAACCAGGCTCTCTCTTAAGTATGTCTTAAATGATTTTAAACTGGTTTTAATTTTCCTGTCCATGTGAAGCTATAATCAGTAAAACCAACAATCCAGCTAAAAATAAAAAAGGTTTAATAAAGGTATAATTGATTAATTGTTTTTGACTAATATGGTATCATTATCTTCCTGACATCATTACAATGACATTTGTTTAAAGGTTCTGCATGTATTTATGCAAACATGTTTGCTGTGAATAAATGTAGTTTATTATAGTTTTTAAAACTTCTCTTTTTAAGTTTTGACACATTATTTAAAATATGTGGCTGAGAAATAATGAATTTAAATTTACAAGTACAAAAAATATTCCACTGGCCATTACCCAAAAACATCCTGTGAAAGTCTGAAATTTCATTCATAATGCTCTTAAAAGGTCTTAAAAAGTCTTAAATTTGACTTGGTAAAACCTGCAGAAACCCTGAAATAAGTATAAAAAAATAAAAAATAAAAAATAAAAACAACAACAACAACAGCTAGATCATTCATCCATTTTCTTTTCGGCTTAGTCCCTTTATTAATCTGGGGTCGCCACAGCGGAATGAACTGTTAACTTATCCAGCATATGTTTTACACAGCGGATCCCTTCCGGCTGCAACCCATCACTGGGAAACATCCATACACACTCATTCACACTCATACACTACTACAGCCAATTTAGCTTACTCAATTCACCCAAACCGCATGTGTTTGGACTGTGGGGGAAACCGGAGCACCCGGAGGAAACCCACGCCAACATGGGGAGAACACGCAAACTCCACATAGATACGCCAACTGACCCAGCCAAGGCTCAAACCAGCGACCTTCTTGCTGTGAGGCAATTGTGCTACCCACTGCGCCACCGTAATGCTCATTATTTTCTAGATATTGTAATGAAATTCTAAGATAAGCAGAATTATTTTCACAGTAGGGTTTCTCAAAATAGCAATAATGTTCCAATAGTTTTGTTTTATATCAATCAACCGGCAATTCTGTGAAAAAACACATGAGAATAAGTTCTGTATTGTAAAACGTTAACAAATTTCTCACGACGTCTATAAGTGGTAAGAAAAAGTTCTGAGGAAAACATTACAGAATTGCATTTTAGAAATCAATATTGACCAAAATGACCAGATATATACAAATAAAGAGGGTCACCAAAAACCTTCATATCACAATTTAGCCATTTTTCTCAGTTCTGAAAACCCAGAAGTGTCAGAAATAAGGGTTTTTACAATCATTTTTTAAATATACAAGCCACTAGCTTGCATGTTTCAGGATCTGAAAAGCTTCTTCAGTGTTTGGACTCTCAATAATGACTTCAAACCACACTGAACTGAGCTAAACTGAACTGAACTTAAACACTAAAAACTGAACTACCCTGATCCAGTTACTATGACCATTTATGTGAAGCTGCTTTGACACAATCTACATTGTAAAAGCGCTACACAAATAAAGCTGAATTGAATTAAATATTTATTCAGAGTATAAGCATCCCTTTAATCTACAAAGCATCTTCATATGTTTTTTGTTGTTGTTTTTCTGTCAGAGTGAATGAGGAGAAGCCGCCGCAGGATCTGGAGTCTCTGCTCAGCAGTAAACGTGAGCCTCCATGATCTCCTCTTGCGTTTGCGAAGCTCGATCTGCTCTTCATCTGAGTTGTTTATCTGTGTGTGTTCATCTGCAGTGGGCGTTCAGGCTTTCCGCTGGTTCCTGCGCTCGGAGTTCAGCGAGGAGAATCTGCAGTTCTGGCTGGCCTGTGAGGAGTACAAGAGCTCATCCGGAGCCAAGCGCATCTCCAAAGCCCAGCTGATCTACAAGCAATTCATCAACCCTGACGCTCCACACGAGGTGAGACCAGACCAGTTTAACCCATACCTGTCAACACTGGGATGTGAAAATAAGGGATATGCCCACCATGATAAGGGATTAATATTTAGAAATTAAATATTTATATCTAATACAAACTACATATTTTTGCATTTATTAGCATTTTATATACTTTTTATTTCTATACACACATAATTTATACACTGCGAGTACACATACATTATGTAAACACATAAAATTAATCATTTAACAGCACTAGTAATGTGTGTGTGTGAAAATGTTTTATTAATATTTAATGTAAATAAAATGTTTTACAACATTTAGCCTAAAGTCATCTTTAGCTTTAATGGGAAAAATAAGTACAAAATAATATTAATCAATTATATATACATTAATCACATGTATTTACATTTAATCTAAATATTGTAATTCAATAATTTAGATTATTAATTATGTTGTTTCCTCCTGGGGCTCCAGTTTCCCCCACAGTCAAAATATTGTGGTACAGGTGAATTGGGTATGCTAAAATTGACCGTAGTGTGTGTGTGTGTGTGTGTGTGAGAATGAGTGTGTGTGGTGTTTCTAACATGTTAGATAAGTTTTCGGTTCATTCCGCTGTGGCGATTAATAAAGCAACTAAGTCGCAAAGAAAATGAATTTATATATATATATATATATATATATATATATATATATATATATATATGTATTATATATATATATATAAAATATATATATATAAATATATATATGTATAAAATATATATATATATATATATATATATATATATATATATATATATATGTGTGTGTAAATATAAATATATATATATATATATATATATATAGATATAAAATATATTTACATATATATATATATATATATATATAAATACAAAATATATATATATAGATATAAATATATATATATAGATAGATATAAAATATATTTACACACACACACATATAAAATGTATATATGTATAAAAATATATATATATATATATATATAGATATAAAATATATTTACATATATATATAAAAAAAATATATATATAAATATATATATATATTTATATAAATATATATATATATAAAAAAAATATATAAATATATAAAAAATATATAAATATATAAATATTAAAAAAAAAAAAATATATATATATATATATATATAAAAATATATATATATATATATATATATATATATATATATATATATATATATATATATATATATATATATATATTTATTAACTAAATAACCCAAACATATCCTTAATTTTCCCTTTCTAAGTTTCATTACTCTTTTTCTGACTTCAAGTTCTTGATAATATAGATGTAGTGTGTAAAGTGTGTGTTGTTTCTCAGGTGAATCTGGACAGTGAGACGCGTGAGGCTGTGATGCAGCTGATGGAGGAGCCGGCGGTGGACACGTTTGATGAGGCTCAGCTCCGCATCTTCACCCTGATGGCCAAAGACTCGTTCCCTCGATTCCTGCGCTCGGCCTACTGCCACTAAAGCACTCTCTGATCCCGTAGTCAGACTGCTGTTCATATAAGCAGACACAGTTCACATGTAGACTCTGTATTATTAAACCTGTCCATTTAATAAACATACTTGTGTCAAGAGTGGGAGTGTTTTGAAAGCTGTCTTACACACCAAGAGAGCCAATCAGAGAGCTGAAAGCTGAAGGTCAGCAGACTGAAGGCTGAGTAAATCAAATAAAGCACAGAGTAGCATGGCATTGGCGACCGCAGGAAAACCTTGAGGGGATTTCACACAACACAACGCAAGTGTGTGTGTGCCTAATGAAAAACAGCACTGATTTATGAGACAAACACACACTATAAAAGCTGAATGCAGTGCTGAAATGAGCTCTGGTGGCCCAGAATGAAAAAGTTTCAGACAAACTACAAGTGAAATCTAAATTAAGTATTTTTATGTATAATTTTTAATGTCAGTCTTGAGGACATCTATACGCTAATGTGCTCCACAAATAGTGACATTTGCGTTTAGAAAAAACATCCAATGTTTGCAGTTTGTCACTTCCTCCTGAATGGATCAACCTTATACTTCAGTTGCTCATCCAATAGTGACCAATTAAATGCTCTCCAGTGCAGAGGTTCCCAAACTTTTCAGCCCACGACCCCCAAAATAACAACGCCAGTGACTCGCGACCCCCACAATCCTTAAAAGTGTTTAAAATATACAAACGTTGAGCACACAATAATAGGCCTATATAAACACAAGCATATTGACAAAAAAAAAAGTGCAAGTCTAACAACCATATAATTTTATAGTCATGTATTAATTTGCTTAATTTAACATTAACCTCACATTTTTTCTCAGGTGAATCTGGATAGAGCAGCAGGCTAAAAAAGCTAAATACTGCCCTGAAATGAAGCTGTGTTTGCCCATGATCAAAGCGTTTTAACTAAAAAAAAGATATTAAAAAAAGCTCACAATTATTTTATCATTTTATTAAGTTAAAATAGCAAAGATTATGGCTAACTGTAGGGGTGTTTTAACTATCCGTTCAAACAGTGTCGATCGTCAGTCTTTTCCCGCGCGGGGAGCTCCGCCTAGCGGCTGCACGAAAGATGACACGCTCCTGATTACTTTGCTTCATTTAGAGGGTCCAGCTGCAGGTTTAGGGGCTCCTGCTGTCCCGCTTTTCTGTGCTGGAGTTTTCAACACACTCAGTTTCTTATGCAGGGACGTGCTGGCCTTCTGTGTGACTTCATGTTCAATCTTGTTCCTGATGGCCACCTCCAAACCCTGCGCGTGCACACACACACCACTATTATTCAACTAGAAGGGGTTTAAACAGGACTAAACTGGCTATATAGCTTATTTCATACCTTCTTTAGCTTCTGTTGTTGGACCACTTGAGCTTTTTTGGGAGCGATTATCCTTCCTGGAATAAAAAGTAAACAGATATTGAGTGCGCATGCGCATTTACACATGAACAAACACGCTACTTTTTTTACACTGTATGTTTTTAGCGTTTAAAATACTCATATTTTAAAGTAATACGATGTTTTTACCTCCTTTCTTCAGTCCTTTTGGTTTGTTTTGATGTTTTTTGGCTCCTCCTGGACGCTGCGCTTTAAATTTCTGTTTTCCTTGAGCCATTTCAACAGTACGATCGCAACAGGAAACAGACGGAAGAGATCTGATACAGAATAAGAGTCTTCATACACCGAGTTTTAAAATAAGAGTTCGTCGCATATACAGTTGATTTTAAATTTTTCATTTTTATAATTATTAATTATTATTAAATAAAGTGTTTTTCAAATATTTATATTTTATTTTATTTTTTTAAATATAATAGATTTAATAACACATTTTTAATCATTCTAATAATAAGTAATACAATTTATCTTTGCCATAATGACAGTACATGATATTTTACTAGATATGTTATAATATTTTTGGCTTCAACTGTATATCAAGTATTGTAAAGTCACAAAACTATCTTTGCTGTCAAATGTTAAACCACAGAGATTTTATTTTGGTGGAAAAAAAAAAACAATTTCTTGTTTAGTTAACAGATTTACAAATCATTATCATTTAATCAGATGGAGTTATGTAGATGCGAACAGAAATATGTGCATAGTGCGCATGTTACCAATATACATGAATACTATAGTAAACTATTTTAAGACACATTATTTGAGGATTCTAGCATGTCTGTGGTCCCTAAAATTTGTTTTCGGATCAGACAGACCTAAAGCTGGGAGAAACTTGGCCTGTAAATAACAGACAAAAATCAAGAACATGATTTGTTCACCGTGGCTTTATTAGTAATAAAAGTGCCACCTCCTTCTTTAAAAATCAAGCATGCCACAATAGATTCCAGTCAGTTTATTTCTGTGCAACAATGAGGTCCATCTCTCTCTCTCACACACACGCACGCACGCACGCACGCGCACACACACACACAAATGTACAGTCTGAGTCAGAAGGTTTTGATACCAAATTAAAGGTTAGGCACTTTTGAAGCGGACAGAACGAGTGTTAAATAAAGTGATTCATGAACTTTCAAACAGAAATCCAGAAAGAAAAGCTCACAGATAAACAAGACGTGATCTGAACACACACATCTTCACAGTCTCCATTCACAACAACCAATCACAGGCCTCGATTTTAGTGCTGTTTAATAATTAATCGCGACTAATCATGTACAAAATAAAAGTTTGTATTTACATTACATGCACATTATATACTGTACTGAGTATTTATTACGTATAAAAATGCAAACATGTATACACTGAAAATATTTACATATAGATTTATATATAATTTTGTTATATAGATATTTTATATATAAATATTCTGCGTATATATGTGCATATGCATATACATATATGTATACATATACATACATATGCATATATACGTATACATATATAGATATAAATATAGATGTGCACATATACATATATAAACATACATACACACACACACACACACACACATATATATATATAGATATACACATATATACATATATATATATATATATATATATACATACATATATATATATATATATATATATATATATATACATACATATATATATATATATATATATATATATATATATATACATACATATATATATATATATATATATACACATATATATATATATATACACATATATATATATATATATATATATACACACACACACACACATTTATTAATACACATATATAGATATACATATACATATATACACATACATATCGATATTGATGTTTAATATATAGGTATACATATCGATATTGATGTATAATATTTACAAATGAATGTTTGTATATAAATAGTTAATATATAAACATTTTCTATACATGTATATACATGGTTGTGTCTATATATATATATATATATATATATATATATATATATAAACACACACATACATTTCGTGTGTGTGTGTGTGTATTTTATTTATATACTTGTATGAACTGAGCACATTATGTAAACTTTTATTTTGTACACAATTAGTCGTGATTAATCATTTAAAAGCCCTGCGCTATTTATTCAAATGAGCTCTGGAGAAGAGGCGGGGTTACTTTAACACTGGGGCTTTCAGGAGAGTCGAGATCATCCTGTGGTTTTGCAAAGGACACGAGTTTAAGATTAAATAATTCTTCATTATCAATATAAGACTTGGATGCAGCTCTGCAAGAACAGCTTCAGAACACATCGACCGTTCATAATTAGATCCTGGAGTCAATGTGACCAATATTTGGAGTAGTTAATCTACCAAAGCTTTAGCTGAATACGTTTGCTGACAGATAAATATCTTCTTCATTTCTAAAGTCTCCTCACAGACGAGATCAAACATCCTTCAACTTTGAGCTTTAATACTTTGCACTCATCCACCCTGAACAGGTAAACCATGTCAAAGTTACTATTCTGGAGGAAAAGCAGGTCAGCGGTGTGCGTTTAAAACCCTTTTTAGTACTCCGCCGTCATCGCCTGAAAGCTTTTCTTGACATGATTGACAAATCAACAACAAAATCAATTAAAATAAATAACCATTCATTGATTCCTCTGACAATGATTAAATAAATCAGCAACAATAACAATAATAATGATGATGGGACACAATTGCACACATATGGAAAGTTGCACTGTAGTGGCGGTACTGAAGGAGGCACTGAGGACGCGTCTCGCTTTACACAACAACAAAAAAACACATTTCCCATAATCCCCGGCTGCGATTGGTCATCCACACAAGTGTGTCCTGATTTGGTCTCCTCAAGAAACCCGTCGTTTGTCCTGGTAATACAGAAGTGTGTGCCCCCCAGGCCCTGAAAGTGCTCTTGTCAGCGGGAGGGCGAGGAGCTGCTGGAGAACAGGTGTTAAACACAAAACGCACCTGCAGTCCACTGGCCTCACTTCCTGCTCAGATTGAAGGGCGGAGCAGGTCACTGTGATGGTGGGAGTGACGAAGAGTCCTGATTGGCTGAGACTAGCTGTCCGTCATCACCTCTTCTGCTCCCAGATCTCCGGCATATTCAAGTCCAGACGCTCCAGAGAGCGCAAACCCTGAACGTTCTCCGAGTAAAACGCCACGTCCACCATCACCAGCCTGCAGAAACAGAGATGATCAGAGAATAAATCAACAATGAACAAGTCAGAGTTACTAGAATAAAACCTCGTTAATTCGTCGTAAAAATTGTATGTTTTTTTTCTGTGATTATATTTTATTGTATTGTTTTAAGAAAAAGCTATTCAAGAAAGAATATGATTCAACATCTTTAAAGGGTCACGAAACACCAAAACACATGTGTTGAGCTGTTGACAGTCGTATATGTGTCCCACACTGCTAAAAACACTATTAGGGACACGTGTATCTCAATAAAAAGTGAAAAATGGTTGTTTTCGCGTTATTTCGAGCAAATTTGTACTTCCGGTTTGAAACTAATTTTTGAAGCTGCGTCACGAGCATGAGATCTTAGCATGTATTCCAGCTTGTAGACTGGGAGTCCAGAATTACATCTCTGAGTGTGCTGCATTAATGCATGAGTAAGGCTAGGTTTAAACCAATCAGCGCGCTCTATTGTGCAACTTCATTAATATTCATTACTGTCACAGTGTTTAGACGACAGAGACGTCACATTGTGTTGGCAAAACAAGCGTGAAGTGTTGCTTTTATACTTTGCTGCAGTTAAGTTTTGTTTTCATTTTCTCTCTGTGAGAGCGCAGCTGGAGTCACGTGTGGATTAACAGTGTACGCGACGCTCGACAACAATAACTTACGTGACTGAGGAACATTGTTTACCCGAGAGCTTTTCTCATCTGCAAATCATGAGATCCGGATTCGCTGCTCGTCTCCTCTTAATACAGACGCGGCTCTAGTTGCTGTGGATTGTCCCGTCTCAACAGATTTAGTAAGTGAGCGACCAGTGCTCTTTGTTGTCGAACTAACTATTACACCGAGTGTAAACATGTTAGCACCACAATCAAACTATTACCGTCGTGTAGGATTTACACCGCATTTTGTCACCGGAATAACACACGCGGCTTTCTGACACTACCTGCCGTGTGCATCCAAGTTTCTAGGAAATGCGGAGGGTTTTTTTTCTCTCATTCGCCGTGCGGTATCAAACATTGCATGAAAAATACACGCTTAGAGCAGTTCATCGAATCAAATATCTCGTTTGTCGTGAGGGACATGAATGAATTCCCTGAATGAAAGAGCCAAACTGCAGTTAAAGTCCACCATTTAATAATTTAGCAAATAATTCGACTACAGATGTCCATGTAAACACCATCACTTTCTCCCCTGTGTGTGTGTGTGTGTGTATTTGCCCTAAACAGAGCTGGACACGCCCACTTTTCGGACTTTTTCCAAAGTAGAGGTGTGAAAACACCCTGCTAAACCAGGGGGTTTCATGGCCCTCTAAAGAAATATAGTAGAGAAAAAATCCCAAATAAATTCTTAATAAATACATTTCTAAAATAAAAAACAACAACAGTATCTTACACTTCTTTGTCTGGCATAAATGTGTGTGTGTATGTGTGTAATAATCACAGCTGAATCTCTCACCCATTCTGTGGTCCTCCATCATTGCTGACCCCCAGCCGTGACAACTGTCTCTTCAGGTGGAGCTTAAAGCTGGCGTTTATCCTGAGGAACAGCATCTGCGCGCACACACACACACACACACACACACACACACACAAACACAAACACACACACACACACGAACACAGAGTAAACCTCTCTCTCTGCACAGCTGGCTCCAGTATCAGTGTGTGCGTGTGTGTGTATGTGGACATGTTTTGTGACATATGAGGACACACATCTGCATTATGACAAAGGTATTACAAGAAAATGGTCAAATATGAGGACAACATATCTTCACTTCTCATACAGCTTATAGATCACACACAATGAGTTTTACAGGAGGTGAAACTGTCCACAGTCTCCTGTGAGGGCTGGGTTTAGGGGTGGGGGCGATAGAAAATACAGATTGTACAGTGGAAAATGTCCCCACAATTCACAAAAACAAACATGTGTGTGAGTGTGTCTGACCTGCGTTTGTTCCTCCGGCAGCAGCTCATGAATGGCCTCGTGCATCTTCAGCATCTGCTTACACACGTTACGCAAACACGCAGACGGCATCGGCGCCTTCACCTCATACTGCACACACACACGCACACAGACACACACACACAGCTGCAGTGATAGTGATGATGATAATGATGATAATAATATTAATATACCAGCGCAGAGACTGACCTTAGACAGAGCCTTCTCGAACATACTGTCCATGATGGCCACCAGCTTAGCCGAGACCTCTGCGATGTGGTCATTATAGTCCTGCAGAGAAACACACATCGCTGTTAGCATCACAACACTAGCATGCATGACATGTGTGTGTGTGTGTGTGTGTGTGTTTGATAGTCTGTATTTTATTGTGCACATGCATGTATGTGTGTGTTTTAACCTTGGTGATGTGTTTGGGTGTGTGTGTGTGTATATATTTGAGTTTGTGTATGTTTGGGAGTGTGTGTGTTTGAGTGTATCTGTATGTCAGTGTGTATGTATGCGTGTGTGTTCTTGTGTCTGTATGTGTGTTTGAGTGTATCTGTATGTCAGTGTGTATGTATGCGTGTGTGTTCTTGTGTCTGTATGTGTGTTTGAGTGTGTCTGTATGTCAGTGTGTATGTATGCGTGTGTGTTCTTGTGTCTGTATGTGTGTTTGAGTGTATCTGTATGTCAGTGTGTATGTATGCGTGTGTGTTCTTGTGTTTGAGTGTGTGTGCCTGTTTTTTTGTAATATTTCACTTTGGTGATGTGCATGAGAGTGTGTGTGTGTGTGTGTAAAAGTCCATGTTTACCTTTCTTATGTGTGTGTGTGTGTGTGTGTTTGAATGTCTGTATTTTATTGTGCACATGCATGTATGTGTGTGTTTTAACCTTGGTGATGTGTTTGGGTGTGTGTGTGTGTATATATTTGAGCGCATGTATGTTTGGGAGTGTGTGTGTTTGAGTGTGTCTGTATGTCAGTGTGTATGTATGCCAGTGTGTTCTTGTGTCTTTATGCGTGTTTGAGTGTGTCAGTATGTTTGTATATGTGTGTGTGCCTGTTTTTTTGTATTATTTCACTTTGGTGATGTGCATGAGAGTGAGTGTGTGTGTGTGTGTGAGAGTGAAAGTCCATGTTTACCTTTCTTATGTGTGTGTGTGTGTGTGTGTGTGTGTTTGAATGTCTGTATTTTATTGTGCACATGCATGTATGTGTGTGTTTTAACCTTGGTGATGTGTTTGGGTTTGTGTGTGTATATATTTGAGCACATGTATGTTTGGGAGTGTGTGTGTTTGAGTGTATCTGTATGCAAGTGTGTATGTTTGCGTGTGTGTGTGTGTCTGTATGCGTGTTTGAGTGTGTCGTTATGTTTGTATGTGTGTGTGCCAGTTTTTTTGTATTATTTCACCTTGGTGATGTGCTGAGTGTGTATGTGTGTGTGTGAGAGTCCATGTTTACCTTTATGATGTGTGTGTGTGCGTGAGATTATATTCTTGTGTGTTTTTACCTTGGTGGTGTGTTTGTCTGAGAGTCTGTGCTTTGCTTAGTGATGTGTGTGTGTGTGTACCTTGGTGATGTGGTCAAAGTGTCTCAGTATGCTGTACTGTTTGGGCTGCAGTCGCGTCTCAAAGTGTGCTCTGATCACAGGGATGTAGTGAACCACCAGCTGAAGACAGCGAGATGCCAGAGCTGAGCACACACACACACACGCACACACACACAAACAAACAAACACACACACACACACACACACACACACACACACACACACACACACACACACACACACACACACACACACACACACACACACACACACACACACACACACACAAACAAACAAACAAACACACACACACGATCACGATTTGATTAATGGAAAAACAAAGTAAAGCAAGTGACGCAGTATTCTGCATTTGGTGTGAACAGAGCATGAGAGAGTAAAGCGACAGCGACAGGCAGATATTGTGTCATGATCAGTGTGTTGTTGTGGATGAATCTCACTGTAGATGCTGGTTTTCTTACCCAGGTTTCTGGTGGTGATGGTTTTGAGTCCCACAGCCTGCAGAGCTCCAGCACCGAGAACCAGCTGACAACAGCGAGAGTTGAAGTGCTGGAAACACACACAACACACCCTATCAGACAGTGCTCACATCTGCAGCTCAACATCTCACAGACTCACATATGCACACACGCATGCACTCACAGCACACACACAATAACTCTCACACAGACACCTAAAACCTGTCAGACAGTGCTCACATCTGCAGCCTGTAGCTCAACATCCACACACACTCAAACACGCACATGCAAAATTACTCTCACTCACACACACACACACACACACACACACACACACACACACACACACACACACACACACACACACACACACACACACACACACACACACACACACACACACACACACACAAAAAAAAATTATTTACAAACGCAGACACACACACAAACAAACAAAATCCCTCTAAACGCACACAAACCCACTCACTCACACAGAAAGAAACACACACTCAGACGTGTCTGTGCATATACACACACAATCACTCTCACACAAAAAAACCCCCACACACACTCCCAGACATATGCACAGAAAGACACAAACACACAAGCGCACACTGACACAGATAAAAACACATGCATGCGCACACACAAACACACACACATCAAAAAAGATAAACAGACTCTCACACACACAGACACATGCGCATGCACACACACCTTGAGCAGGTCGGCGAGGCGTGTGATGATGTCAGTGGTGATGGAGGGAATGTCGTTCACACACTGGCAGTACTCCAGAAACATGCGGATCAGCAGCAGTACCGTCCTGTAGAACACACGAACACACACACACACACACACACACACACACACACACACACACACACACACACACACACACACACACACACACACACACACACACACACACACACACACACACACACAGAGACAGACAGACAGACATGTTAAGGGTCACGAAGGGAAACTAAAAGGTGAAATAAAACGTGAAACTGAAACTGACCCGACCACCGCATACTTCTGTCCGTCCACACACAGAAACTCAGTGGGCTTCCTGTCCTCGGACCCTGAGCCACACAACACACACTTCACCAAACTAACTCAACATTCATTAAAATGTAATTAATTAAATAGAAATATAATGATGCAATAAATGAGGGATGTGAGCAGCTAAATAAAGCTATGAAACGACTATAAACAATAGTACTCTTATTATTGTTTATTATAATTATTAAGCAATTTATTAATACAGAAATGTATAAATATGTTAAAAAATAAACTTATTTAACTTTAAAACTCAATAATAAAAAGGCAATTATGCGATCAGCAGCAAAAAAAATTAAATCGGACTCCCCTCTGCCCCCCTTTAAGTGAAATAAAATGTAATTATTATTATTACTAGTAGCATTAGTATTACTACTATTTAAATTTGTATTATTACATTTTATTATCATTATTATGTAGTACATTTATTGTAAATTAAAGGTTTCTTAAAATAAATTAAAATAAAATAAATAAATACAATTATTATTATCGCTATTATTAATATTATTACTAGTACTACTACTATTCAATTGTGCATTATTGTATTTCATATTATAATTATTATATACTAAATTTTACATGTTATTATCAAACAACCCAAATAAACACGCTAATCCCATCCGTGAAAACATATAAACCTGAAATTAATAAAATCATATTTTAATTTACTACAAAATTAATGTGAATAGACTTAATACTGTTTTTTATTATATATAGATATATTTAATTAATAAATTATGACAAGTTGTTTATTTATTTATTTACACAGCCATATAAATAAATGAGTGAATAATGAATAGTAAACGACTCCAGTAATGAAGGTGTTTTACCGCTGCTGTGTTTGCGCTCAGGCAGAGAGATTCGTCCGTCAGCGATGGAGTCGACCAGATCCTGAAACTCAGCAGGAACCTCAGCCTGTTTCCAGCGCTCATTATCCAGCAGCAGACTGCACACAAACACACATATAAACACTCATTCTGACTAATGCCTCATTTACACCGAGTGGTTCAGTTCAGTACAGTTTGGTAAAGTCTACAGTGCAGATTACATATGGCAGAACATTAAGCCTGGTTTATACTTCTGCGTCAAGTGACCGGCGTGACCCACGGCGCATGCAACGTGCGTAGCTGTGCATTTAAACTTCTGCGCGCTGTCTCTGTTGGTCTGCAATAACACTTCCGAAACGCTAGTTGGCAGTGAGGTGTAAATGTTCCTCTGTGTCGAGTTTCTTTGCTGCTTTTTTGCTTTTCCTGAACACTTCCGGGATGTACAAGTGGCTCAAACTCGCTCATTTTGAGGCAGGAACCAACGGACGTGCAGCAACTTAGGTAAACACAAAACAAAACTTTCCATCCGGAGCTCCTTCACGGGACTCCACACTTGTAAACAATCGCTCCATCAGGCTCGCGCCATTCACGCGGCTCTCGGTCCCGCCCAGACTTGTCAGCGCTACCAAGCCGACCAATCACAGAGCTTGCGCTACGCGTTGTTGCCACGTGTAGTTACATTTTTTGAGAGATACACGTCAGCGATGCCGACGGCCACGGCGAAGGGCTATGCGTCAGCACCGTAGCATACGCCGGCGTTTGACGCAGAAGGATAAATCAGCCTTTAGCAGTAATGTTGCGTAATGGGTGTTGCAAATATGCATAGAAGAGTGAACAGACTTTCCTTGGAAGGGACTTGATGCATTACCTGAGTTTGGTCTTGCGCTCCTCGTGGAATCTCTGTACGAAGCGGTTGGCCTGACTCTGCAGCGCCCCCCTCAGGCTGACACTGCGCCTGCCGCACAGCTCTTCAGTGTCTTTGACAAACGACTCCACGGCCTGACTCAAACAGACAAACTCTGACGAGCTCAGGCGCTCTAGAGAGCCGTCCTGCAGAGCACACACACACACACACAATCTGTATTATGCAGACTAATACATGAAAGCAACCCTACATTAAAAAACATTGTGGCAAAAGGTGTGCAGAGGTGTGTGCTGACTGCAGTGAGGTGTTCACCTTGGCTCTGGTCATCAGCACTTTGACGCAGCGGTCGTGACTGACGTCTGACGCTGCATACAGCAGCTCCTGAACATTATTCGCCACTCGACCCAACTCCAGATCAGACGGCATGACGTCCTCACTAGGACATGTTAAAAGCAGTGTCTGTCAGATGTTTATTCACACCAGCACACACACAAAATAAACTTATAGGTCATAAATAAGGGGAAATTGTCTTATTTTTGCATGAAAAGAATGTTTTGAGGGTTTTTAGCATTGCGATATAATATTACAAATGAGCAAATTCACTTCCAATTTCTCACCACTGGACGAAAAATTACTACAGCATTAATTAAAATTTACATTCATTCATTACAATTCACATTACAGTGAAGTTCAGTACATTGTTGTTGTTTTACATCAAGATTAAACAGCAAAAAAAAGCTTATATATGGTATATATAATGGAAATGAAAAAGGCTTGTTTGCATTACACAACAAGCCTTAAGAATTTCAGATTAAATTGTGGGCAGACTTATTATACTTATTATATGATGTTATATAGTGTAACATCATAAACTTTAATGAATTTAAAGCATCCCTGCAGAATAAAACTGTTAATAAATATTTTAAAATGTGTGTTCATGCATCTAATTATTTGCTTAAACATTTTGAATTTACTCGCTTCATTCGTGCATCAAATTCGCTTCACAATAGATGCAGATTGGTGTCATGTGCAGGGCTTCCGTCTGCCCGGTGACTTCAGCTTCATTGGTAAATGGCTAACATGGATTTTATTAAGAGAATAGCTGTGCTTTATGTGCTTTAGGAAGGCTGAAAAACAGCATAGATTTGTTCTGCGCCATGTCTGAGTTGACAAGCCCCTTTCAGAGGTGCTTCAGCTCTGTGAGTTCATCAACACCTCCAGAAACTATACCTGGATGATGGAGGCTTTAAGCTGTGCTTCTGACTGAGCTGAGCCTAGTTTGATCATAGATGTATACATTAGATGTCGCCTGGCCTATTGTTGTCTATTGGACGGAATGCGTCAATAGCGCCGCCCTCTTGCTACAGGGTAGCGCTCCTTTGAAATGAATGTGGGACCAAGGTACAGTGGAGGACTGTGGCCATCCAAAGCCAGAAATATACACATATACACATATATCTGTGATCGGGAGTTTTCCTGGATGTTAGTATGTATTTTTTTTCTAATTACGAAAATTATAATTTTACATCACTTTTCTACATTGATGGATCAGTGACTGCACGGGCATTCCTGACAAAAAGCTTGTGTTTGTGTGTACAGAAATGTGCTATTCCACCCTCCCTGTTAAATTTGATCTAATCATGTCCTGAAACACAGCTCCTCTCCTGCTTTCACTTCTCATACTGACGGAGGGAGCGATTCCTCTGTGAATGAATCCCCTGAACGACTCTTTCACTAACGTTAGCCGACAATAATACAAGTTTCTGGCAGTGCAGCATCTCGTTGTCATATTTCTTTTGCATTGTTTGCTGATTTTATTCAACAAAACTAGCATAAGCTGAGAGTTTAGTGCGAGTTGGAGCTGCTTTGCCGTATGGTGAATGCAGTAAGAGACTGTTATCATCAATAACGTGACCTGATTAGCACAAAAGTTCAGAACAGAAAAAAACTTCATCTTACCTATGAAATGTTCTGCCTTTGTGCTTTGTTGTCTTTGTTTGCTCGTTACTACACCCGTAGACAGCGCTAAAGTCCCGCATCTTAACGTAATAACGCTGTCTTGACTAGTGCAGTTAAATGATATTTGTCCTGGGAGCACTGTACCAATGTGGCAGCGCTATTGACACATGCTCAGGGTCCCTATGCGATATCTAGTGTATATATCTTTGTAGTTTGATGAGCTGTTGTCTGGTGTCAGTAGGATGATTTCCCCCTCAGGACACCAACAACAGGCGCTACATCACAATCACACCCATACTAGAGTAAGCTCCTGACTGATTAACGCGGTGTGAATGTCCGCTAAATTTCAGATTTTCCAACTTGAGCGATTCATGGTGTTAAGGACATCAAACACACAAAACACTCAATTTGCACCGTTACATTGGCACGAATCGCACCGCTGGATGTCTATTTACCAATTCTGTCCTGATTCTATTTAATCACCTGTTTCTTTCTTTTGTTAAACACAAAGTGAAGTTTCACAAACTAATTTCGAGAGGAGCATGTGATACAATTGACTACAGCTGGTCCTTATCGTTAATCATCAGCTAGCCAATCAGATCACTCCAAAATTACTATAAATATCCTGACTAAACTTCCCTATGTTTTTGGAAACCCCCACTCTATCCTTTCCTTCTCCCTCCTCCTCAATTCTAGGATCAGGCGACACGGCAGCTTAGTGGCTGGTTCTGCTGCCCCTCAGCAGGAGGGTCAAAGGTTCAAGTTCTAATTGAGCCAGTCAGCACTCTCTGAGCGGAGTTTGCATGTTCTCCCCAAGTTTGTGTGGGTTTGCCCCAAGTATTCCCGTTTCCTCCCACAGTCTAAAAACATGACATAAGCGAATTGTAATCGCAGTCACAAGCACTTAACGCATACATACTGAATTGATTCTTATAGAACCACCTTATTAACCAAAGTATAGGTAAAAAGCAAACTAACTGGGGGCTCTCAAAAAATACCTGATCTCGTATCCCTACTAATGCTCATTGACCAGGCGGGAACCTTGGGCTGATCCATCTCCGAGCTCAGGGTTCTCTCCCGGGACAGCATGCCAAGTGTGCTGTTATAGTCGATTCATTTAATTCATTCAACTGATTCATTTAAGTGTGAACTTTTGAATGAAGATATTTTAAAGAATTATTGAAACTGCTAGCCACTATTTTATTTTTTTAAACCTACTAAAATGTCAATGACTATCAGTTTCCTCCATTTTAACACAATTAAATAAACTCATAAAGGTTTGGAACCACCGCTTTAAAAACAATCATAATCTGACAGACTCCATACGGATGAATATATACAGCGTGTTTGTTGACTCACAGCGCAGCGGCCCCTACAGGCAGGCAGGAGGTAGTGTTGGAGTTGTGCTCCCTGCTGGAGGAGGATTCAGTGGTTGCGGAGGCCGAGTCGCTCCCGCAGGCGTCTGCGCGCGGCGTCTGTGCTCTGGTCTGTGTTTGTGCTGCTGTTGTAACACTGCGCTGCTCTGCATCATTCAGAGCGTCACTGATGAACAAACCCTCGTGAGTGAGGTACGCAAGCTCCGCCTCTCCTGGATGAAGGGCGGGGCCTCCTGACTCCTCCTCCTCATCCTCATTTACTCTGCCATCTGGATGACTGGTTGCTGTGGTGGCATCCGCTAGTCGACTCCTCTGGCTGCTGTCCAGCACTTCCAGAACAACATTACGGATGACACTGAGCGTCGCCTAAGAAAAAAAACAGTGTTAGCATGCAAACATATCTCTATGGTAATGCTATTTTTCTTTTTAAATGGATCATTACTTGCTTTGTTGTTGTTGTTATTAACTATATTTATTGATATGCTCTTAAAGGTTCAATAAAGCGCTTTGGAATTTTTTTTATTCAATGTTAGTCGTAATCTCATCTGAAACATGAAGAGATGGCAGGACAGAGTAGCCCCTCCTCTTTTTAAAAAACAGCCAATAGCGTTTTGTTTTCTGGCAGCTCTGCCAGTAAGAGTGGTTGAGCTCAGGGGCATCAAATGAGCTCAAGGGCAAGTAAATTAGAAGCGTCTTGAAGTAGGAAGGGCATGTCAGTGATTAAGTGTGTTCCCTACATGCAAATATGAACTTGCCTTGATCCTCTTGAGGAACAGAATGAAGTGTTCAAATATATCCAGCAGCAGATCAAACCAATGATGAAACGCCATCAAGCGCATCTGTTCATGAATCCTGCATCACACACACAAACACACAGTAAACCTCTGTGGTACCCCTCATGTGCTCTATTCAGTGTTAAATGCTGACAATGTGAGTTTGAATGCTATTTTACATCACATTTATTGCATTACTAATGATAGCAGCAGCAGATCTTGAAAATAAAATAAACTGTTTGAAATTGAACTTTAGAACTAAACGCACACGAGAGTGATTCAGCATCTACATTTAATGATGTTAAAGAGGGTTTATATGTATTAAATAGATTATAAATCTGATCTTGTCCTGAGTGAGTGCATATTCTGTGCTTCTGAATATGGAATGAAATCACTGTCATAAATATTTCCTGCGTAAATAAAATTCACGCATCTGTAATTATGGAAACTCTGCGCACGCTGCCTGTAACATTAACTTACATTAAGCTCACTATCCTCGGCCTAATCTTAATGATTGATTCTGTAAATTGTCCAAAAAACACAGCAAAAACGGACCTCATTAAGTCTCAACCTTTATTACAGCTCATGACAGACATTTCTCAAAGAGGGAATAACAAAACTGCTTGATTATTAATGCCTGTGACAGCGGTGATGTAGTTTTGACAGTGGAGTGGCGCTGTTTGATTTGTACTCGTAATCAGGTTGTCGTGTCCGTGTTGAAACTGTATTTCGTCTTTGTAATGTACACCTTTCATAAATTCATCAGTCATATACAAACAGACAAAGAAAATGTCGTATCGGTGTCTGTTCTAATTGCAGATTTTGGAACTGCATGCTCCGTTTTTCTTTTTGATTTTAAAATTACAGATGCATGAATTTTATTTACGCACGAAACATTTATGACAGTGATTTTATTCCATACTGAATGGCTGTATTTCAATTTCTGTTGTGTTTCGTCTGGAGCAAACAGCCAAATTGCTTATCACTGCATATCTCGTCATAAAGCGTGTTGCTAGGACACACGGTTACAATGTCACCTGCTCACCTAATGTTTATGTTCATAACATTCAAATTACTTGCTAATTAATAACCTCATGAGGAACTCTAAATCTGCATCTCATTTCGGAGTCTGCTACTTTCTACCGGAGGTCACATTTTGGCCACAGACGTATGCTTTCAGAGCTTTTCTGACAGACTGAATGAAATACGCTGTTTTCCACCAAGGCAACCCGGAGTGCTAAAACATAATTGGCTAAAGTACAATATATTTATTACTTTTTTTTTTTTCAATTTGCATTTCACAACAGATTACACAATTACAGAACAATAATCATGAAGGCACAGCAAACTTTTTACCCCCCATTCTCCCTCCCAACAACCCATTCCCTTAAAAAATAAACACATAAAATAAAATAAATAAAATAATAATAATAAATAAATGAAATGAAATAAAATAAATAAAAATAATAATAATAAATAAATAATAATAATAATAATAAATAAATAAAATAAAAACAAATAAAAAAATAAAATAAATAAAATAATAATAATAAATAAATGAAATAAAATAAGTTAAATAATAATAAATAAATAAATAAATAAAATAAATAAAATAAATAAAATAAATAAAATAATAATAATAAATAAATAAAATAAATAAAATTATAATAATAAATAAATGAAATAAAATAAATAAAATAATAATATTAAATAAATAAATAAAATAATAATAATAAATAAATAAAATAAAAACAAATAAACAAATAAAATAAAATAAATAAAATAATAATAATAAAATGAAATAAAATAAGTTAAATAATAATAATAAATAAATAAAATAAAATAAATAAAATAATAATAATAAATAAATAAAATAAAAACAAATAAACAAATAAATAAATATAATAAAAAAGGGGAAGAGAGAGAAAAAAAGGCGGGGATATGTTTAAATCTGGTAGAGAGTGTTTCCTGAGTCTGTTTAGACCATGATACTTCCCATATTCCTAAGCTTATTCTAGTTGTAGTAGACCGTCAACATTTACATTGTACTTTAGAAAGTTATTAAAAGGTCTCCAGATATCTTCCAACACATTTTGTTTCTTTTTGATAATGTACGTGATCTTTTCCATTGACATATGCGATTCCATTTCTTTAACCCACTTTCCTATTCTAGGTTCATTTATATTTTTCCAATTAAGAGCAATAATAATTGTAAAATACACGTTTATGAATCTGACCTCTTTGCTTTGTAAGAGAGGGCTGACAGGAAATATACCCAGGATCAAAATCTTAGGATCTAATGGTAATTTCTTTAATAAAATTTGGTCAATATAATTGGCTAAAGTAGCATTGGCTAGGTTAAAGGGAACAAAACAACGACAGCCGTTCCGGTACAGAAAACACACTTTCAAAGCAGAATATCTGACTTCAGTGTTGTTTTTCAGATAAACATATTTCACTTAGCATGTTTCTGAAATATCTGCAAACATATAATGGCATTTTCATGCATTAGAAGAGTCCAAAACTTACATACAGCACCTTTAAGATGTAAACTCGGCTAGTGATTATTATAGAAATGTGGGATTTATAGAGAAGTGAACTCACCTGACAGTGTCTGCGTCGACCTCATTGACCTGAGACAGGGACTTCACAACACACTGCAGGGAGAAACGGGATTACACTGAAACATTCACTCCTGGCTTCACCATACACTCTTTTTAACTCATGTACTAATTGCTTTACCTGCCGGACCACGTTTTTAGCTGCGCGGATCATCTCTTCACTGTAGATGTCCAGGAAATCCAGCTTCCTCTGCCGCAACAGCCCAAAGACTAGAGACTGCAAGCGATCCTGGAATGCAAGAAAAACACACACAAAAGCCTTTTATGCACTTTTTTGGATATTACATAAAAACAATAGATAAATATGCATGTAAAATATTAAATTGTGCTTAAGTATCATAAGTTCTTGATTGTATTGGATGATTTCTTTTTATACAGTAAGATGAGAATAAATTATAGTGAAAACATTTACTGCGGGATTTCTTTTTAAATTATTTGATGCACATATAAGCATGTTGTTGTTCAGCTAAAGGCTCTGTTTCCATCCACCTACTCTTACGGGTATTTTGGTTGATATTCGGTTTATTTATTTTGGTTTTATAATATTTGGCTTATTTTTATGGGCATATTGGTTTATAAAAAATATGCTTGATGGAAACACCAAGATGCATAAACATTTTGAAAATGCGCATAGAAATATGCATACAGCTGAAGTCAGAATTATTAGCCCCCCTGTTAATTTTTTTCCCCAATTTCTGTTTAACGGAGAGCAGATTTTTTTTTCAACACGTTTCTAAATATAATAGTTTTAATAACTCATCTCTAATAACTGATTTATTTTATTTTTGCCATGATGACAGTAAATAATATTTGACTAGATATTTTTTAAGACACTTCTATACAGCTTAAAGTGACATTTAAAGGCTTAACTAGGTTAATTAGGTTAACTAGGCAGGTTAGGGTAATGAGGCAAGTTATTATATAATGATGGTTTGCTCTGTAGACTATTGAGAAAAAAAATAGCTTAAAGGGGCTAATAATATTGACCTTCAAATGGTGTTTAAAAAATTAAAAACTGCTTTTATTCTAGCTGAAATAAAACAAATAAGACTTATTTAAAAAATTAAAAATAAAATAAATAAATAAATAAATAAAATATTATTAGACATATTTTGGAAATGTCCTTGCTCTGTTAAAAATCATTTCGGGAAATATTTAAAAAAAGAAGAAAAAAGAAATTCAAGAGGGTACTAATAATTCTGACTTCAACTGTAAGTGAGTAGGATAAATGTTTCCAGCAGTTTTAATAAAATCAATGGTGTTAGACAGCTGAAAATAGAGCCTTATTCCCAAACTATATGTATGATTTTCCAATTTAAGCTAGATTTTAACCTTTAAATGGAAACACCATTATTACAGGATCAAATTTATAAGCACATTAATATCATGCTAATAAGATTTTCTTGATTTGATTTCTGACTTGAATAAATCTGATCATGAAAAATAGTGCATAAAATCATATGCTCTCAAGTGCAATGGATATTTTTTCCAACAATATGTTGTTAAGCTACAATAAATGAACTGTTGATTCCTTGATGTGCAAAATAATGCACATGGTGTTTAGCCAACTTCAGTCTTTCAACTTTTACTATTGTCAACTTGCACCGTTGTTCTAAGAAAATTATCAGCTTTTTTAGACCGAAAATGTTTATTCTTCATAATTTAGAGATGTAATTTTCAGATATTTCCAATTTAAGCTGGATTTTAACCTTTGTATGGAAACATCATAATTACAGGATCAAATTTATAAGTAAATTAATTTCATGCTAATCAGATTTTCTTGATTTGATTTCTGTTTTGAATAAAAATTGTGCATAAAAATCACATGCTCTCAAGTGCAATGGAAATAGTTTTTCCAACAATATGTTCTCAAGCTATGATGAATGAACATTAAATTCCTTGATGTGCAAATAAACTAGTGTTTAGCCAAAGTCGGTCACTTGTACTAATGACAACTTGCACCATTGTTCTAGGAATTCACCAGCTTTTTTTAAAACTCAAAATGTTTATCCTTCCAAATTTAAAGCAATTTTACGATTTTTCCTATTTAAGCTACATTTTAACCTTTGGATGGAAATACCATTATCCATGAGATCAAATTTACAATCACATCACAAGCAAATTAGGTTTAAACTAAAGAGATTTTCTTAATTTGATTTCTGATTCGAATAAATCTGATCCTGTCAGATTGTGCATAAAAATCATATGCTGTCCAGTGAGATGGATTTTTCCTCTAAAACACAACAACAACAACAAAAAATATCAAATCAAACCAAAAACACAAAAAATAGTGTTTAGAAAAATTCAGTCTGCCTTATTTTTGACATCCTGTGCCATTTTTCTAGTAATTCTCCTTTTTTTTTGGACACAAAACTTCCAACCTTTCCAAATTATTGATTATAACATTTCCAATTCATTGGTTGACCTTCATCCAGAAACATGCTTAAACTTTTAGATCATCAACTCCAAATTTGCATACCAAGCGGATGAATTACACTCTGCAGACATCCTCCTGATTTGATTTCTGATTTGAATAAGTCTTATTTGGCCCATTGTGACTGTGTAGTTTCATTCAGGATGTAAAAGCAGTCGGCGGTTTGGTTGGTTCGCCGGCGCGGTACTCAGACTTACAAGACCAACCTTTCCAGACGCCGCAGGCTGCTTTGTTATCTGTATGAGAAGATCCCACATAACATAAACCTCAAACCAACACACACACATGACCTGATTCACACACACAGGGAATATGGAGAGCATTGCTGTGGTCTGCCTGTGGGCGACGTGATGATATTGAAACAACAACAGAAGCTCATCAATGGCATTCAGCGACAGATTCTGCTTAATGTGACAATAGATTTGTGTTCTGATCTTATTTATTTTACATTACTATTAAAACACTGGGTGTAGGGTTAATTTAAATACATCAAATTAATCAAAAGTGATAGTATATACATTATAAAGTGTTACGTTGCTCATTTGACATTTCTGTTAAAACAAATTCTAAAACATTTTGGTTTTGATTAAATTATTAAGTAGCAAAAATGTTTTAACATTGAGATAATAAGCCTTTCTTCAGCTCAAATCATCTCATTATATTGATTTCTGATGGATTGGGTTATGTTGTGCTGTGATACTGTGGACGGTAGGGGCTGGAAGCATTATGATATTTGGCGAACGAATAATTAAATTACATTTTATTTACTTTTAATAACTAATCAATATAAATCATTGCATTAATGTGATTAATTGTCTGTTTTGGGGCTCATAGAGAAATGTAACATGTCTAAATATGAACATACACTGCATAAACATATCACAGTAAATATAGCTGAACACATATGTGCAAATTAGTAATTGGGCTGTTTGCTGCCGAGTGTGACGCGGCTGGGATGAGAATCAGCACCTCCAAGTCCGAGGCCATAGTGCTCCACCGGAAATAGGTGGCTTGCCATCTCTAGGTTGGAGGCAAGTCCTTACCCCAGGTGGAGGAGTTCAAGTATCTTGGGGTTTTGTTCACGAATAAGAGAAGGACGGGGCGTGAGATTAACAGGTGGAATGGTGCAGATGCAGCAGTAATGTGGTCGATGTACCGGTCCGTTGTGGTGAAGAAGGAGTTGAGCTGAAAGTCAAAGCTCTCGATTTACCGGTCAATCAACGTTCCTATTCTCACCTATGGTCATGAGCTTTGGGTCATGACTGAAAAGACAAGATCTCGGATACAAGCGGACGAAATGGGTTTCTTTCGTAGGGTGGCAAGGTGCCCCCTTATAGACTGGGTGAGGAGCTCTGTCACCCGGGAGGAGCTCAGAGTAGAGCCGCTGCTCCTCCACATCGAGAGAAGTCAGCTGAGGTGGCTCGGGCATCTGTTTCGGATGCCTCCAGGACGCCTACCTATGGAGGTGTTCAAGGCATGTCCCATTGGGAGAAGGCCTCAGGGAAGACCCAGGACACGCTGGAGGGACTATGTCTCTCGGCTGGCCTGGGAACACCTCGGGATCCCTCCAGAGGAGCTGAAAGAAGTGTCTGGGTAGAGGGAAGTCTAGCTTTCTCTCCTAACACTGCTGCCCCCGCAACCCGGCCCCGGAAAAGCAGCAGAAAGTGATGATGATGAAGTAAACTGCTGTATTTTGAATATATGTACATTTATGATATATATATATATATATAAACACATACAATACAAAGAAATGATGCCAACCATCGAGGACAAATACACTTCATCAAACATGTACACGACTTCACCTGTATGCTATAAAATTGCAGGTTAACCATGTCTGAATGTAACTTGAAATATTTGATTGTAGCTTTAACTTAATTGATTGTAATGCAACAATGTGCACCTTTTATAAAGCTGCTTTGAATCAATAAATATTGTAAAAAGTGCTATAAATAAACTTATATTGAATTGAATATATTGCCATACATCTGATTTGAATATAGGAGCTTTGTTAGTGTGCTTTTTATTTATTATTATTATAGGATTTGTACATTTTATCCAGATTAACTGACCTGTTTGTGTATCAGCACCTTGTACTTTTAAATAGTAAAGAAATGCATTGCATTCTGTAGCTAGATGTTAGAAACTAGTCACAACAAACTGGCCTAAAATACAAGTGGCAAAGTGGCAACAGTTAGAAAAGAGAAGTTGTACAAACGCACTGTCTCTCTCTCTCTCTCTCTCTCTCTCTCTCTCTCTCTCTCTCTCTGTATTTTGGTTTTTGTCTCCCTCTTGTGGCTGTTAAAAGAACTAAAGCAATTTAAGCCGTCTTGAACAAATACGCTTGGATTAAATAACTAGTTATTTAAAGGGGATCTATTATGCTTCTCTTTACAAGATGGGAAATATGTCTCTAGAGTGTGTGTGCGAAGCTTCACCTCAAAATAGCACACAAATAATGTTTTCTAACTCTCTGAAACTGACCCTTTTAGGCTCTGATCCTAATTGTGTCATTTTGGTGACTGTCACTTTTAATTCAAATGAGATTGTACTATTTTTAAAAGAGGGCGGAGTTACAGATGCCTGTGTGTCAGCATATTGGCAGATTCAAAAACAAGACTAATGTCCTATGCTAATGAGAAAGAGATGGTCAGTAGTGGGCGGGGCTTTCCCCCTCTGATGACATGCGCAAAGGGAGAATGTCAATCAAAAGCCCCTTTCACACATACAGACCTTTCCGGAAAATTACCGGCAATTTTCCGGAAAGGTTGTATGTGTGAACAGGTCCTTTTTGAAAATACCGGTAAATTCGTTCTGGCTATTTTCCGGAAAGAGAAGTTGTAACATTACCGGCAATTTGCCGGAATGCTGCGCTGTGTGAATGCAGAAGGAAGATTCCCGTAATAAGCGCGTGCACGTCTAGAACGTGCTGACGTGAGACGTCTGCTTTAGCCAATCACAACAGTCAGACGCATTTACGTCCGTGCGGTTTGTGAGGATAAACGCCTTTGAATATTTTTCCAGACACACTTAGCTGCTAGAAGATAGTCAGATCACGTTTATATGTTCTTCCTAATGCCAACTGTGTAAATAATCATCGATGAGATGCTTATGATAAGCCGTTGTTTGTTTACCTTCAAGCTTTGCGTGCGCCTATGAGCGCCAGCACACGCACATATTATGAACATCTCGACATGTGAAAGTGATCCTGCGAAAGTTGTTCACAAAATTGATCATCCACAGAGTTTGTAATTTAGTCAAATGTTTACAAATACAAGCGCAGCCGTTTAAAGCTCATTTGTGGTGAATGATGTCAGAATTTACCGCTATTTTGGAATGGATGTGTGAATGCTCTTTTCCGGAAAATTTCCGTAACGTCCTCGCCTGTGTGAACAGCGCTTTTTTGAAAATACCGGTAAAGTCGTTCCGGAAATTTTCCAGATATTTACCGGTATCACTGTGTGAAAGGGGCTATTGTGTTTCTGCAGACTGTTTTTATCAAGTGTGACTATAAAAAATATACAATTAACTAATTTCTACCATTAGTACCTGGTTATATTCTTAGACTGTAGGCAAACAACTGTGTTTAAAACTTTTAAAAAAGTGATTTTTGCCCTTTAATAAACCATGTAAGGCCTAGTGGACTCTTATTTCATTAAGATGATGGAGAATCATGCGTGATCGCTGTCTGACCTTCTCCAGCACCTGACCGTCCTCCTCAAAGGTTCGGCTGAGGTCACTCTGAGCATAAGTGGAGAAATCCGCCACCATCATCTTATCGATCAGCCTCTCCATCTCACACAGCTGAGAACCCAGATGCCTTCAGACACACACACACACACGCGCTTTAATAAAATGACAAATATTGGGCAACACAATGATCATGGCACTGATAAAAAAAAATAATGATTACAAGTTAATATTTTGCCCATATTTAAATAAATAAACATTAAAAATGAATAAAACATTGAATTTCAGGGCTATATAAAATGTGGAGCAATCACCAAATACACACAGTCATAAGCTGCGTCCCAAATCGCAAACTTATGCTCTATTCTATGCCATTTTGTGGTATAAATAGTGTAAGTAGTGTGTTCACACTGAAAACTAATAAGTGAAATAATAAGTGCACTGTAATTACCCGGATGATGCACTCATTCAGCCGCTAAAATGAAGTGTGTCATGATGGACACTTCACGCACTCAACGACCGCAGGCTTGCTTACGTAGTGGAAGGGGCGGAGCTATCGGACGCACATGTTGGATAACTTTATTTATTTTGGATAGTGAAAGCAAAATTCTCCTACGAGAGTGATTATAGCGCCTCCCGATGGTGAATGCGGCAATACTCACGTCAGGTATTATTTGATAATTCGGTCGTTTATTTCACTGATTTGGCGACCGTCAAACGTCATCAGGGAAACGGTTTGCATTTCCGCTTAGTGAATAACCATTAGTGTTCCATTTGGGACGCTACTACATGTATATACTATCCTGTTGAATGTGTAAGTGCATAAGTACATAGTGCATGAGTGTATAGTGTGCCATTTGAGACGCAGCTATAGTGTGTTATACAATCTAATTATATTAACCAATATATTACCCATTCGGGGGCATGACCACTGAAGATAAAGCATGCAACCACACTTTCCTGACCTCAGCCAAAAGGCCAGAACAACATTAAAAAAAAAAACATTATTAATCACTATGAAAATTCATGATGTTAACCAGGAAAAATAAACGCTGAAATTATTAGCTGATATACGAAATATTTATACATAAATAAATAAGTATACCTTAAGAACGGTATAGCAGAAAACCCAAACCGTAGTAAACCTGGAAACCGGTTATCATCCCATGCATAGTGTAGAGAGCATGTGTATGCGCGCACCTGAAGCTGTGAATGCCCTGCAGTTCCTGCTGCAGCACTTCTTTGGTGGTGGCGATGAGCTCTAGCGCCCCCACAAACTCTGAGGTGGAGAGCAGCAGCTGTACGGTGGGCTGCGTCTGGTGCACGGCCGCCATCAGCTTCAGCTTGTTGTGCAGTTTGATGCAGTTGTTGCGCGTGAGAGCGTCGCGTAGCACCCGCAGTGGCCCACGGCACATCACTCGGTCGATGGCAGCGGTTCGGGCGCGGAGTTTAGCCACGGCGTCCGCTGTCTCGCGCAGCTGGTCCTGCAGCTCGTGCTGAGACGACATGGCGTGGAAAAAGGCCTCAGAGCGAAGAGAGATCTGACGAGCGATGCTCACCTCCACCACGTCCAGATAATGACTCAACTACACACACAGATACACACAGTACACAGAAAATGAATGGTGCAGTATGTAGGATTGACACCTAGTGGTTGTAATAGGTATTGCAGTCTGAATTCAAAATAAAGGCTTGATTGGTTTGGCGTATGCAGAGTTGTGGAGTCTACACGCTTCTACATACATTATTTTATTTAATCAATTTTTTTCTTATGCTTTCTTGAAGATATTGTACTACGCTGAGTGAAACCTTCTGTGTATTCTGAAATGGCCTTTTTAAGTTCTAGTTAATGTTATTATAGTACATTAAATCACAAATAAAAGATTTTTTTAACCCGGCCTCTCCGACAACTTGACACACGTACAGGTTGCCAGATTGATGACACAAACTGACTTTAGCATTGTTGTTCACTAAGCATCTTTTTTTAAATATCTGCAAACATAAGATGATATTTTTATGATTTAGAAAGAACCAAACGTACACACAGCACCTTTAAGACTTGTTTAAGGTTATTTAAGCCACAGAAAACAATAGTTTAACATGATATACTAAAATAACCTAGGTATAAAAATTTAAAACTAAAATAACTTTTGAAACAATATAAAAAAATTTAAGTACTAATCAATTTAAAAAATTATAAATTACAAAAAAAAAAAAATTAACTGACTGATGGTGATCAGTTACGTTGCCAGATAATCAGAGATTGGCACCTTTTCCTGTAGTAACCGTGATGATGCAACATCTCTGCTATTCTTTCCCCCGGCGACGCTGAAGTGAGACCACGGCAACACAGCATTAAAGGTGGCGGGATCATTTAACACAAACTCCGGCTTCATGAAGATCTGGAGAAA